GAAATTCAAAAAATAAAAGGAAAAAAAGAAAAAAAAAAAAGAAGAAGAAATCTTTCCCTTTCATTTCACGGTTGGCAAAGCATCTTCGTTTTGCCTACTGTGAATGAAATCCGATTGGACGTCGCATACATATTTACGTTATACGTAAATATTCTTCGAAAGGAATCTCCAACCATCATCAACTTGTCTCCAGATTTTATTTTTTTTATGGAATACCAAAAAGGAAAAAAAAAATAATAAGAGAGAGAGAGAGAGAGAGAGAGAGAGGGACCGAGCCCTACTGAAGAGCTTTTATTTCTTTTTTTTTGTTTTCTTTTTTTTTATGGTCACTACATAGTTTTTCCTATATTGATCTCTTCTGACATTCCTATGTTTAAATTGCTCTTTATATATATATATATATATATATATATATATATATATTTATTTATTTATTTAGTTATGTATTTATTTATTTATTTATTCGATCGGTATTATTTATTAATTAAAAATAAATAATTTTGTTGTAACAAATAGTCAATATACATGTATATGTATATATATATATATATATATATATATATATATATGAATATTTTTTTCAATAAAAATAATTACGTCGTAAGGATTCCTTGCTTCGCTCATATTACTTACGAATATTTGATTATCAATATTAAGCATTTATTTGACATATCGAGCAAATCTTTTGAAATATTATCTTAATAAATAGCAAGCGTTTAAAATATCACCGATTTTTCGTCTACCTAAAGGAAAAAAAGAAATATTACTTTATTCTAGTCACGTTTTTTGAAATCTAATAGAATAAGATCGTGATCCATTTATGTATGTGTACGTATATATGTGCATGTGTGTGTATGTGTGTGTATACCTTTGGAATCGTATTTCTTGCTTGAGAATATATATATATATATATATATATATATATATATATATATATATATATATATATATACGTATGTGAACGAAATGAACAAGAAAAAAAGAATTAACAAAAAATAAAAATGAAAGGTCGTATGCGAAATGGCGATAGATAGATACATATTATGTACATGCATAAACACATATATGTATAGATAAACGTGATGGCAGAGGGATCGTATTAATTAGACAGGGATATCGCGAAATTGAAATTCAATAAGTAGAAAGGGTCATATGTTGCGTGGGGTCGTATCGATTTCCTCCTTCACGTGAGAAGGTGAAGAGAGTGGTGAACGAGGTGGAAGAGGAGGAGAAGAAGAAGGAGATTCACAAAGAGGAAGTGTAGGAGTTTATTTCATACGAGATCAGCTTTAACATAGGTGTTAGACGAATATATACCGTATAGTTAATACTTAGAAGCATAAGTATATATCTATGTATACATGTATGTATATATGCATGTACGTATGCATATATATATATGCATGCACATATGTAATTATCTATTTAAATTATATATTCCTCTTGCTACAAGTAAATCGATTTTTGGCTTTAACGATCATTCACCGTCTATTCCGTAAATTTTTCAAAGGTAATATTCATCGTTGCAACGAAACAGGAAATTTTCATTATAGAAATCGATTTTATAGATCCTTAACCAATTTTAAATTTAGATTTAGATTTATATTGACATTTATATTTACGACGATCATGTCATTTCTATTTATAAACATTCATTTTTTTTTTTTTCTTTTTTTTTTTTTATTATCGCAGAAAGAAAATGTCAGAAAAATGAAACGTAAACTCTTATTAAAGTTTCTCCGGTGAGAATCACAACATCGAATGAGAAAATATCTTAAGAAAATAATCAAGATTTAGAATTCGTGGTTAATCCTGAATTTAAATTGGATATTTACAAGAGGGAAAGTATATTACCTTCTGAGACATAGACAAGCGAAGATAGGAATAGAGAAAGAGACACAGAGAGAGAGAGAGAGAGAGAGAGAGAGAGAGAATATCATAGGCTCTCTCGAGAAAGTCCTCTCAGAGGAGAGCGAGTTCAACGTGTTACGTAGAGCGTTAAGCCCGAACTCAGCTTGTCTTATATCCCAGCGATTAAAGATAATGATCATGCCTAGACGTGATAATCAGCCGTTCAAAAGATATAATAATCTTAAATCGTTATTAAACGCAAATAAGAAGGTGAACGTTCGCCTACAATGCGACAGCTTCGATTACGCTATCAGACTTAAAATCGTGTTACAGTCAAGTAAATAAGTAAATAAATAAATAAATAAATAAAGTTCTAAAATTATTTATCTATCACTCTTACTTTTCAATAGAAAATTCTTCCATTCGAGTCCGGCACGATCTGGATCGCTTTTTAGAACGTTCAATTGACTTTTACTTTCTCGATGGTAACGAAGTACTAGAAGAAATTCTAAGGAAATCACGTGAAAATAAACCTAAACGTTAATAGAGATATAAATAGATTGTATGTATGTATGTATGTATATAAATATATATATATATAAAATTAGATAAATTTAATATAAATCTAATATTTGAAAGAAAAAATGCTACGCGCGAATGTTTTATTATTGATTAATTAATATCTAATCTTGTTTTTTTTTTCTTACTTACTTTCTTCCTCTTTTTCTTTTTTTTTTCTTTTTTTTTTTTATATTTCATTTACGAGATTTTCATTTATAAGAGAAACCTCGTAAACTGATGGATCTGCACAAGTACGTTGGTTGTACAAACACATAGAGCTAGAAAATATAGGATTCAAATAGCAGGTGGGAACAGTTAAATATTTGCAGAGTCCCAGTAGCGTTAACCCAAGTCAATAACGTTCAGATTCTACAGCAAGTTGCAGGAAAACATCGGATATTTCCGGTTCTACATGCATACACATAGTATTTTACTGCTATGTGTTTTATCCGTATGTGTCTCTAAATGTATTGACAAGGCATGTCAATACATGACTATCAAAACCATATTTTATTTTCAAACTCCATATGACATTTTCTCAAATAAAAGAAATTCAATGAACATATACATACGTGCGTATGTACATACTTACATACTTAATTAATTAAATGCATACTCACTTACATATTTGTCCTGATAAATTTAAAAATATAATCCCTATATATATATATATATATATATATATATATATATATATATATATATTTCGTACAATGATTTATTCATAATCTCTGTAGAGAATATATCTTATATATTTCTTTCGAACGAAATAATATCTAATATAATTATTAAATATTATATTACAATAATATATGTAATATAATTATTAAATATATGATGGATATATAATATTATATTTTTATTTTCAATATAATTTCTATTACTTCTGTATATCTATGGAGAATTTTTTCGAAAATAAAAATTTGTCAACGTTAACGACAATACTCGTTGATTATAAAATATTTCTTTGGATGTCCTTCGAATGAAGTGATAAAAATGATGGCGAGATACGCGTTAAAAAAAAATAAATTTTTTCCCCCCTGTAGACGGTAAAGAGTAATAATATCTATACGGGGTGGTCGATAATAATGCATTTTTTATGCGGCTTGCGTGTAAAGGAAAGGGAAGCTTCGAACTGAAGGACGAACCGTCTGAAGTATTACCGACGAGGTGGAAGCACGGAAGACGGCGAGGGAGGGAAGGAGGAAGGGAATGGGGGAGTTGGTTCGGGAGCCACTAACAACGATTATCGATTTTATTCCATTTTCTACGTAGTTATAATGAAATCGTTCCTCAAATCGTTTAATAAAAATTTCCGAAGTATCAAAATTCTCACTCTGTTTCGAATCCTTTCGAATGCTAGAGACGATCGAAATTTGACGACGAAATTGTTTTTGCGAAGCGCATTCGACCCCTATTATTTTCCATCGTCGATTGTACCAAAAAAAGCAAACAAAAAAAAGAAAAAAAAAAAAAAAAGAAAATGGAAAAGAAAAATATCGAGAAAAAAGAACTTCGCATCCAGCCAATGCATTTGTTTTTCGAAAAAAACAAGCGGCTAATGTTTAAAAACAAACATTTCACGAATAATTCATAATGTAAATGTAATTCTTTTTCTTCTTCTTCTTCTTCTTCGAGAAAGAGGGAGTATCGAAATATAATAATTGATATCAACCATCCTTCATAAAAAAAAAAGAAAAAAATAAATGATTAAATACAAAAGAAAGAAAACAGAAGAATTAAAAAATAAAAAAAATATACAATATATATATATATATGAAGAAAAGTACGAACGTAGAAAATGATACGATTTTTTTTCTTATTACGAAAGTTTCTTCGTGCAAAACGAGATTTACCACGGAGTAATTAATACGATAGCACGTTTCATTACTCGAATCACATCTAGAACGTTTCTTACTTTGATTTAATACGGTCGAGTGACAGGATCCGTTCGTGATAACGACGTGCCACGACCGGTTCGCTAAAAGCTACGATGCGTCTTCCCTTTCATAATTTTGTCCGTCCGTACGTTAATTAAGATACGTTAAGCTTTGTTCGTAACAAATCCGTCATCGCTAATTAATCGATCGTCCTCCAATAATATAATAACACTAGGGTGAGATTCAAAATAGCAAGCTTTATTAATAAATCATAGTGTCGTCTATCGTCGTTATCTCGTTTATATATACAATATATCGTTTAGTATTAAAACACGTTAGTTTCTAACGATTAAAATTTGTTTATATTTATGATTAAACAATTACATATATTTTTTCTTTCTTCTTTTTTTTTTTTTTCTTTTGCTTTTGTTATCGAAAGAAATCTCTTGAATAATATTTTTAATGATGATTATTTACATTGTTATTTTTTTATAGAAAGTAGTAGCAGAAATAAAATTTGTCTTTCTTTGTTTTTCCTTTTTTTTTCTTTTTTATTTTCTTTTTTCTTATTCCTCTTTTCTTTCTCTCTCTCTCTCTCTCTCTCTCTCTCTCTCTCTCTCTCTCTCTCTCTCTCTCTCTCTCTTTTGTATTTCGAAAATAATGAATAAAGCTTGAATAAACGAACGTCCATTTGTTATTATGTTATAGCAATAATGCAACAAGCGGCAAATCAGGATCATGGCAACGTGTACAGGATTCTCAACGATCAAGTCCAAATCCAAGCGGTGCTCATTCCGCACAGGATATGGCCACGCCTCATACTGCTCCCGTTTCCGTGAGTATTTTAATCCCTCGAGAATTTTTTCATCGTTCACCGTGACGATTTCGAACAATCCGCAAAATTTTATCTTTCAAAAGAAAAAATAGAGATTACGTATACGAGAGATGGAATGATCGAGATCAATAATAGAAACGAATCGATCCGATTTTTTTTCTTTTTTTAATCATCTCGACTACTGTAAAAGTGGATTTGCTTTTTTTTCTTACGATTTGTCTCCCCGCCCCCCCACTTTTTTTCTCTCTTTCTTTTCCTTTCTTCATCTGTTCTCTCTCTTTCTTTTTATTTTTCGTTACTGTCATTATTCTCTCAATCTCATGCGTCGAGATCGCAAACAAGAATTGTTTTAATGATAAAGTGGGACATTGTGAACGATGTATGTACTACCTGAATAATTACGTACATAGGGAACGATGTTTGCTCGCAAAAGCATAGAACAAACATGGTGTGCGTTATCTCGAGAGAAACTTTCGCGTGTCACTTTTCGAAACTTTGACTTTATCTAATAATATTCGTTTGTATAAACCCGACCAATTTTTGACAATTTTTATATACGTGAAATTATTCGTTCAATTTTTAAAGATCTAATATCGTTTTTTTCTTTTTTTTTTTTTTTTTTTTTGTTTTTTTCTTTCTTATTTTTTTTTTCATTGTACTTTATTATTTTCTTATATTATCAGTAATATATAAATTCGTTTAAAAATACATATGGAAAATATTTGATACCTTAATAAGTAATAAATATGAATGATTGAAAACGAAGTAATGCGATAAAATAATGAAACTTTAGTAATCCTTGATAAATAATATAATAAATATCGATCGACGTGAGAGAGACCTTGCAATAAATTTTACAGCACACGTATATACGAACGTTATATATACAGGATAACCCAGAAATTATTTCTAACAAAAATGATTATTTATTATTACCAAGCTTGTCAGGCGTCTCAATTGTTTCTCGTTTAATAAAAAGAAAAAAAAGAAAAAAAAAAAAAAAAAGGAAAAAGAAAAAAGAAAGAAAATATATCAATCAAATGTCGTCGTCACGTTTGAAGAATAAAATTCATTTTAATTAGAAGATTTATACTCGTAGCAATTAATTTCTACTATCTCGCATTTAATCTTCCCTCTTTCGAGACAATTAATCCTAAAGCGAGGTTCATCTTAGTTACTGTAAGATCTACACTAATACATATATATTTAGACGAATACGCTTTCAACTTTGTAGTTATTACACGTATATCCATCTGTGCATTTCCTATAACCCTTGTGTCTGATAAATCTACAAAGTTACTACTGCGTTAGAGAAAGATAGACAGACAGACAGACAGACAGGCAGACAGACAGAGAAAGAGAGAAAGAGAAGTTACCCGTGTAAAGCATTCCTAAATTTAATTAAACCAACCACAACCATACTAATCCTCAATCTCCAACCTCATACATGTGTCTCTTCTTCTTTTATATATACATATATGTATATATATATATATATATATATAAAATGCGGTTGCTAAATGTAATTTCAAGTATTATAATTGTAAATTCAATTAATTTTACTGATCATTATAATCTTCATTTTCCATTTATTTATAATACATATATATATATAGATGATATGTACAAATATATATATATATCTTTTTTGTCTCCCATTCTTTCTTAATTAAAAATTTTAATTATTCCAATAGATAAATCAATATAAGATATATAAACTAACTAAGTACTTATGTGGATTTAATCTGTTAACTGATTATAAAATGAATTAGATTTGATTGATCGACATATAGTTGAAAAGTATTAATAGCAGGAGTAAAACAAGAAGAAGAAGAAGAAGAAGAAGAAGAAGGAGAAAAAAGGAAAAAAATAAAAAAAGAAGAAGAAAAAAAAAAGTATACGTTCGTTCGTTCGTTCAGTAAAAAAGTCTTAGAGAGGAAGTGAGCCAGTGAAAATATACGAAAAGTTTGATAGCAACTAGTTCTGGTAATTTCGAAGAAATTATACCGACGTCAAATTATCTTGAGTTTTGGTAACCTGCCAAAATTTCTTTCTCGCGTGAACTTAAAAAGAAGAACCTCGTAGGAACCACTTCGTAGAAACGTTTTAATCGATTTCTGCGAAAGAGAAAAAGGAAAGAAGTTTTAGTTTTCTAAGCATTTGACTTTGGCCTTTTTAATTAGAAAAACAAAATTTCATCTTTGATTAAACTTCGATATTTGACGATTCGTATATACTTACGTGGAAATAGACAATGATATATATATATATATATGCATATATATGTATATATGTATATATGTATATATAGACAATATATAGGAAGGAGAAACAGTAACGAGCTGTCATTACAATGTCGACACTCCTAGGATGATGCATGGGAATCGTTTCCAGTTGCGCTAACATGTTCGTTCATATTCAGAAGGGTGGTACATAGCGCGTGTATGTGTTGTTAGTAATATATGAAATATTTCGATGCACATACTTTACAAATAGACTCGGATATAAATATTACTAACGAGTGACAGATCCAACCATTTTATAGATATTTAAAAGAAAAAAAAAACAAATAAACATATAAAAAATAAAAAGAGAGGATTATCTTGCAATCAGTTATAATTAATTTTCTCGTAAACGTATTAAAATTAATAAAGACATAGTAGCGATCTCATTAAACTCCTTTTCATTAGCACTTAAATTATTTCTATTAAATTTACAAGATTATCCTTTTTCCTTTTCTTTTTCTTCTTATTTTCTTTCTTTCTTTTATATATATATATATATGTAGGACGCGAACCTTTTTTATCGTTCTGATCCCTTTGAAAGATTAACGACGAATAAGGATAAAATATTCATCGATCTATCTTCGTTACCTTCGACTTTCTAGATCGGTGAACTTTGACCGATATCTTTTTTATACGTCGGGGATATTTTTAGAGAAAAAAATATTTGATTTCTTAAATTATTTATTTGTACGATAAAAAATATGTTCTCCCCTTTAAACGAGTTAAGTTCGATTAAGATAACCATAAGATATATTTATTTATTTTTTTTTCTTTCTTTCTTTCTTTCTTTCTCTCGATGGAGGAAGCAATAAAAAAAAAAAAAGAGAACAAATAAGAAAGAGAGGGAGAGACTCTTGAAAGAAAAGAAAGAAAGAGAAAAAGAAAAAGAGAGAGAGAGAGAGAGAGAGAGAGAAAGAGAGAGAAAATGGCGACTCTCGTAATTAAGAGCATACAGCACAACGGGCATCGAGATATTTCGGTCCGTTGAAGCTTCTTTGCTTTGCACCTAAGTCGAACAATGGCAGTGTGCTCAACGAGGAGAGTCAAGAGACTCTCGACTTCGCTTAGAAACCACCCTTCTCCTTGTCACCCACTACCACTACGGGTACCACCAGTACCACAGTATCACCACCCTATTCGTTCTCCTCTCATCCCTTTCCCTCTACGACCAGGAGGCACGATATGAAATATGGTCCAAACTCGTTGTAAAGGCGAGTAAAGGTTGTCGAACTCCAGTAAAGCAGGCAGTAAGAATTTAACAAATGAATTCTTACGATCGCATTATTTTCGAAAGATAAAGAAAAGAAATTCCTTTCTTTTTCTTTTTTTTCTTTTTTTTTTTTCTTTTTTCCTCAGATTAGCACTCAGATTAATTGTGTACATCTCAAAATAATTTCAAGTTGTGCACTCAAGAAATGTGCTACGTCCTTCAAGCAGGCACTTTGAACTGCTGTCATTTATAAAGAATGAATCTCTGTCTCTCTCTCTCTCTCTCTCTCTCTCTCTCTCTCTCTCTCTCTCTCTCTCTCTCTCTTCTCTCTTTCTCTGTTTTAATATACTCATAAACATAGTCAGATATTATAGAGGGAGAGAGAGAGAGAGAGAGAAAAAAAATCAATTTATAAAATAATATATGTAAGTGTGTATGTATGTATGTGTGTGTGTATCATTTTATTTATTTTTATAGCCACTTCACGATCAGTATACTGGTCACGGTAGAAAGGATCGAAGACGAATGCCTGGAATCAGCAAAACTCAACGACGTATCAAAGCATCCAGCACTCCGGCCTTGCTCGATCGAGATCACGAAAGGTAATGATTGATATTTTTCATAGATCTGGTTGCTCTTTATTTTTGTCAAAATGAAGGGGGAAAAAAGAAAAAAAAAAGAAAAAAAAGAAAAAAAAAGAAAAAGACAAAAAAAATTACATTCGTATCATTCGCCCCTTAAAGAGAAATCCTGAATTCGTTCGATTCGACAACGTTATTACATGTTAATTCAAAATAGTTAGAATATAAATCAAAAAAGAAAAAAAATTTTCACCATCGAAAAAGTGAAAAGATAAAAATTTACGACAAATAAAATGCGTCCCCTCTTTCGACAGCCCCTTTGAACGTACATACGTTAACGGCATCAATGTGATAAAGATCAACCCTTTTCGCTCTTTTCTACACCCATGTAGTGTATAGAAAGAGAGAGAGAGAGAGAGAGAGAGAGAGAGAGAGTAGACTCGCCTGCTTACAAAAAAAATCCACGTGTCAAAGACGATCCGATAGAGACTTTTGGAAAGAAAAAAGAAAGAAAGAAAGAAAGAAAGAAAGAAAGAAAGAAAATAAAGAAAGAAAAGTAAGAAAGGAAGAAAGAAAAGTGGATGTTATGTAGAGCCAGTAAAGTCTCATGTATTTCGCTTAGGATCTTTCACAAGGGTTTTTACTTTCTCTTTCGATCTTATCAAAGAATTTTCTATTTGTTCTTTTTCTTTTTTTTTCTTTTTTTTTTTCTTTCTTTTTTTTTTGACGAGCACCACGTTGGATAGAAAAAAAAGAAAACGCGAATTTCTCTTCCTCGTTCATCGTATCTACGTCCTCTTTTTGTTTTTACTTTGTAACCTTTTTTTCTACTTATCGCCCCCTCCCCTCTTCCACTCTGCCTTCTCCTTTTTCGTTGATTAAAAGAGAGGGAAGAAAGAGAGGAAAAAAAAAAAGCTTAAAGTGCAATGAAGCGTAAAACAAAATATTACGATTAAAACAAAACAAAAATCTTAAAAATTAAAAAAGGATAAAAAAAAGAAAAAAAGTAAATATTACAATTTATAATTTATATTAATGATTTTTTACTCGATCAACAAACATTTTATTTCATTCGGAATCAAAAATTTCACTTTTAAGTAATATATATGTATATATTTGTTGTCATTAATAGATGAATATATAAATAAATATATATATATATAAAGAGAGAGAGAGAGAGAGAGAGAGAGAGAGACACAGTTTGTGAGGGTAGAAAATTTCAAAGGCTTTTTGACCTCGTACTTGACGTGCTTCCTCGCGTTTTTCGTTTCTCATCATGATCCCGGGACCTCTCGGACGTGTCGCACACCAAAGTACGGAAAATAAAGACAGAGAGAGAGAGAGAGAGAGAGAGAGAGAGAGAGAGAGAGAGAGAGAGAGAGAGAGAGAGATAGGGCTGTTTGCCGAGTCACGAGTAAAGATATTATTTCGGTTGACCTACCTGGAGTCCATCGACTTTCTGCGCTGCTGAACCCACCCCTTTAACACCCCTTTCTCCAAACTTTAATTATATATCGAATGAAATAACATCTTTTAACTCCTTTATTTATTTTAACAATTTTCTTTATCAATCTGTCTATCTCTCTTTCTTTGTTTCTATATCTATCTTAATCTCTATCTCTCCCTCTCTCTCTCTATCTATCTCTTCCTTTCTCTCTCTCTCACTCTCTTTCTCTCTCTCTCTTGTTTTTATAGTAATTCAATAAATCAACATCGATTGAATGAAAGTCAATGAAAGTCTAAAATCGTAAAGAAACATTGATGATAACGTTTAATTAAATTAAATCGGATATTTATCTATTCTCGATACTACAACCAAGTATGTTTTCATATAAATAAAGAAAAAAAAAAAATCAGTCGATTAAAAAGAGAAAAAGAAAGGAGGATGTGGAGGGGTTGGGGAGTGGGGGAGGGGGGAATTTAGAAAGAGGCACCGATGTCACTACAAAGGATAAATGGTACCTTTTGTAAAGACCGACGAAAAGAACGAACGGTGCTCTTGCACCCGCATCTTTCGGAGGAAAGAAAGAGAATAAGAGGAAAAAAAGTTGAAGGTGTGTGAATGAAAAAGAAAGAAAATGATAGAAGGAAAGAGAAAGAGAGAGAGAGAGACTGAGAGAGGTACGAAGGTAGACTGCAGCATCCCTTCGTGGCCCTATACCTGAAGCGACCCTTCAAATCTGTTCTCGGAAGAAGTATCACGCAGACAGACAAACACACACACACATAGACATACACACACGTGTCTACGAGACAACACGCGATCCGCCCACGTATATACACACGTAAGTCCACATACACATACACACACACACACACATACACACGTGCACGCGAATATAAGAGGATGATGTATATGTGTGAACCGAAGGCATGGATCTCGTCGTTGTGTTTTGTTACTACGAAGGTTCAGTCGCTTGCAGCTCGTGGCCCATCACACTTCCTGTGTCTGGAGCTCGAACTTTTAATGTGCCAAAAAAAGAATTTATGTTAATCTTCGAATATATTCGAACGTACGCACGTACGTAGTTACGATAAATAAATAGTGAAAAAGGATTTGTGTTATAAGTGTTTGTACATTAATTTGTGATACTTTTACGTCTTTGATATTTTCCTTATCTCAATGAAATTTTACCAATCGATAATAATAAAGTTATAAGATAAAACATTATATCTTTTTCATTGTTAAATAATATAATAAAGATTCAATTAACGTTGTTGAAGTCAAAATGTTGCCAGCCCGTTTCGTACGAGAAATAATTAAGCTTTTGGAATAAGGATCATCGTTCGTGCGGAAAAAAACTTTGTTTAAGGCGATTATCCTTATGATGTGGTACGTAATTTGCTTGCCCAAAGGAGCAACGAATTATTGTTTAACGAGAAGGAAAAAGGTTCGTTGTTGGTAATGGAAAATGATTGTACAATTAAAAACATCCAGGAAGCAAATACGTTTTTACTTAATTCTTGTTGTAAAAAGAAAAGAAGGAAAAAAAAAAAAAGAAAAGAAAAGAAAATTCATTAAATCGTTTATTATTCAACGAGGAGTAAAATTTTCTAAAAAGAGAATATCAAGTATGATATATCGAGACAATTTCGAAAGAATTACAATCCGTATTTCGTACGCAAAAGAAAACCGATTAATAGTCAGATTGGTAACACAACACCTTCCACTTGCGAAACGATTCTGCTTCAACCGCAGGTTTCCGTTTTCAAAGACCTGACGCGTTCATTTCTTTTTTTTTTTTCTTTTTTCTCTTTTTCTCTCTTTCTCTCTTGCTTGCTCTCTCTCTCTTTCTCTTTCTCTTTCTCTTTCTCTCTCTCTCTCTCTCTCTTTCTCTCTCTTTCTCTCTCTATCTCTCTCTATCTCTTTCTCTATCTCTATCTATCTATCTATCTCTCTTTATCGAGGAACTGTCGTTTCCGTTATTTCATTTTTACCAGTCACTCGCTCTTGTCTGCGGTCGTACATAATCGAAGATGCCATTCGTGTATCTTCCAATGTTTTACGAAGATCTTTCTTCCGTTGTGTTATCGAAAAAAAATATTACATTTGTAAGGAAAAGACATTACAGGTTGTATAAATTGAACCAAATCGATTATAAAATTTTCTAATCTATTATGAATGACCGTCGAATGATCTGGGTTAAAATCAATTTTTTCTGTTATAATATATTTCAATTAATAATGAAATTCATTTAGAGAAAAGAAAAAAAAGATAATTAAATAAATAAATAAATAAATAAATAAAAAGAAAAGAAAAATTTTTATTTCAGTCGACAGTGGTCAGGTGATGAAGAAAGTGATGGGACGCGTAGGACTGAACATCCTCTAACGGAGGCAACGATACCTTTGGTCACTCACTCTCGTCTTCAAGACCCTTTGTCCTTGGGTTCGTCGAACGTGATCGCCGCTTCAGGTGCTCCAGGACAAAATTCTCACCGTTCTAATGCACCTCAGAGTCAACAGGAAAGCGTATTGCAAAAATTTCGAAAGAGCTTCTCTCTGAGATTTCACAAAAAGGGCAGTAAAGAAAGTACAGAAGGTGAATGTCCTACGGAGGAGAATGAAAGGACAACTGGCCAGTTAGGAGAAGAGGAAGAAAGGGAAACGTCGGCCGTTTTGTCATCTGAACAAAGCTCGCAGCACAAGGACGATCCTGGCAATGATCAAAAATTTCGGTTGGTAAATTCGACGAATTTATTTTTACATTGTTCAATTGATAATAAAATATGTAGGAATAATTTCGGTAATGATTAGGCCTAGTTCTTTTTTCTTTCCTCTTTCGTATTTTTTTTCTTTTTTTTTTTTTTTTTTAACTTCGATACATCGTCGATTTAATCCATGTTCAAAGAAAAAAGAAAAAATTATATCTGTAAAAGTAGATTCTTGAAACGTTGTAATATCGAGATAAAACTAAAAAGTAGTAGATTTTTATAAAAAAAAAAATGATTTCCGTGTTTCGTAGAGTTATAGGCCAAAGTAATTATTAATCAAAATTATGATTTGATGAAGAAGCGAAAAATTTTTTTAAAATATTGAATTTTTATATTACAAATAACTTTACCAATTTCTTAATTGAGAACAACAAAGAATATTATTTATGAATTTTATTATAATCATTAATCGATCCTATCACGTAAAAGTAAAAATATCTGAAAGTCGGATTAGATCTATAAAATATGAGAGCAAGTCGTCTCATCTGCAAGGCTATCTATCTCACCCAGAATTAACCTATACATATATATATATATATATATGTATATATATATATATTTTCTTCTTTTTCGATTAATTCAATTATCAAGAATACAATGTTTGAACATCATTTTAATTCTAAGTTAGAGATAGATTAAAAGATTAAGAATAAATTTAGTAGGATAAATTTGTTATTACATATCTTCCTCTTTCACAGATTTGGTCCTTTAGTATGGAGGAGCAGTAAGGAAAGGAAAAAGAGTAACAAGGCAGCGCGTAATGCAAAATGCAATAGCGGAGATAGTGGAATACAAATAGAGGTAAACGTTTCAGTCGAGATAGCTTGATTATATAAATATGATTTTTTATTATTATTATTATTATTATTATCATAAAAAATAGATTAGATAGAAAGAACTCGTATTTAACGTTCGTGGAATCGTAAGAAATTCATTCGTATTAGACTTTCCAAGAAATTAGAATAATAATAAAAAAAAAAAGAAAAGAAAAAAGAAAAGAGAGAGAGAGAGAAAGAAAAAGAGAGAGAGAGAGAGAGAGAGAAAGAAAAGAAAAAAAAAGAAAGGAAAAAAAAATAATATAATACAGAGAAGAAAGTGGTCGGTCAAGGAGTATTGTTGTGGAATGAATTGTGTTGTGGGGCGTACTATAGATGGTATCTGGTGGAGCGTTGACTGTGGGCAGTAGTGGCGGAACGATGGGGGGTGGCGATAGCTCCGAATCCCACGACACAGACGTCCAAGATGAAACGGACAGCCCTCCGGCCCTTCGTAGGCGAGTTGCCGATAAATCACGACCCCAGTCCGAGCTCATCAACCAGATACTGATAGACAAGTTTAAGGTAAAGATTGCTTTCTCTGATTAACGAAGAAAGAGACATCGTCGGAACGTTTAATTTTTGATCATCATTGTCGTAATCATTATCTAATCGCATTTAAAAGGCGATAGCTTTATGTCACAATTGAGTCATATTATGTTATAACAATCAAATTATAACAATTAAATTCAAGGAGAGAAAAAAAGAAATGGTATAGAAAAGCTGGTTGATTAATCGGGACATCCATATATAGTAAGTACTACTCGTTGGTCACGTTCCTCGAGAAATCACATTTGATTGACATTGTCCTTGCTCGAGACTCATCTAAATTTTCAACAAGCATAGATCCCGGACACGGTATCTCGTCAACGTTGATAACACGTTTGTTCGATGTATCATCCCGCGTTTCTGCGGGCCATGCTCGTGCAGATCACAAACGGCACCGATAAGCAACGGACGAGAATATAACGTATATCGCATGAACCAGGATACGAGCAGAGGATACACGAGAGAAAGAGAGAGAGAGAGAGAGAGAGAGAGTGTGTGTGTGTGTGTATATGTATGTATGTGAGAGAGAGAAAGAGATAGATAGACCAAATACGGTTCTGGTCAGTCGATATCGCGAGAGTCACAGTTGCGTCGTCGTGCGCCGTTCAACGAGCGCCGATCGAAGTGTAACGCGAAATATAAATTTTCCAAGGTTGAGATATCAATAAACTTCTCCGATGAAATTTTCTTCGAACGAGACAACGATCAAAATTCTTCGAACGTGATTAACGAATTAATATTCACTTCGTTCATCTTATCTGGCGGTCTAAAATTACCACTTTCATATACTGTTATAGTTTCTTATCTAATATATATTCATATAAAAAATTATATATACATTAAATAAGAAGAAAAGAAAAAAAAAAAATATATATATATATATATATATATAAAAATATATATATATATATATATATATATAAAAATATATATATATATATATATATATATATATATATATAGGTTGTTCATATAGGTATAAATGGAATCGTAGATTAAAAATTATTGATAAAATTTTTAATGATAATTTTCGTCTCGCTTCAAGCTCACTTCATTAATTAATATTTCATAATGAAGAACGCGAACTCGTTAACACTATCTTCGATCTATACGATATCTAAGAGTAATGAGATCAAAAAGAAAAAAAAAAGAAAAAAAGAAAGAAAAATCATGAAAAAGTAAAAAAAAAAAAGAAAAGAAAAAAGGATATCATCCGAATCGAAAAAAGATAGGAACGATTTATTTCTTTTCAGGCGGACTTACAGAGTCGCGCATCGAGACATCAGCACGTACGTAGGACTAATAGCGACCTTGGTGGACAGAGATTACTCCAATGGGACACCAGATCAGGATATAGTCATATTCACAATTATCGAAGGATGCTCTCGACGCCATCACCGATCAAGAGCAGACCACCGAGGCTAAGCCCGAGACACTCTTCCCATGACATCGTTACGCTGAGAAGGTAAGTTTCTTTCTTTCTCTATCTATCTATCTATCTATCTATCTATCTATCTATCTATCTATCTATCTATTTCTCTTTTTTCTCTCTTCTCTTTCTATCTCTCATAAAAAAGATCGTATTTCGATTGCATATACGCATCATTTAATACTTTCTTATTGCCAAATCGCGAGCGAGCATTCTTTTATGTACTACGTATTTTATTACAACGTGTTTACATAAAAGCGATGCTGCACGGCCTGATCTTTTGGCACCTGCTACGTAAAACTATAGGATCGATTTACTTTATTAATATCGATCGTTAATTGAAAATCACAGCTAAGATCGAATCGATCTTCTATCGATAATTTCGTAGTCACTTCTTTTACGTAGCATTTGCCTGTGAAAGCTGTTTAAAATAAAGCCTTCTTAGCATTGACATTGCCAATTTGGCAAGAATTACAGAGTCAATTATATAGTATATTATTATATAACGTTGTTTATTCTCTTATATATAATACTTAGGGTGAGGTATTTTAAATGGGAACAAAATATTTCAAATAAATTTATTCATTCGAAAAAAAATATATATGTATAACATTCCTATTACTAATGTTAATAAAATCATTACATATATATATATATACACATATATATATATGTGTGTATATATACTTTTATCTAATATACAAAAGTAATATATTAACATTTAATTGCAACACCCTACGTAATGGCTTTGATCGCAATTTTTCGGATTAGCTTGTTAATTGTGCATTAATTATTAAGCGCTGAATCTTTTTTCTGTTATCTAATAATAAATTGCGCATCAACATAGATCGGCCGCTGCTTATATTTCGTATGCTAAGAAATTTAGAAAGAAAGAAAAAAAAAAAAAAGGAAAAAAGAAAAAAAAGAAAAAGAATTAAAGAATCAAAAAATAAAAATAAAAAATAGAAAAGATAGAAACGATCATTATACACTCGCGACATACATAAATCAAACAACCATCAAATCCCAGATATATTAATGTCCTTTGCAAAATTTACATTTATTTTATTCTCGAACCTTTCCAGTAAATCGAGGGAGACTAGTGGTAGGTAGACGGGTATTATAACAAACCACCTTTTTTTAATTTTCCTCGTAAAGTTGGTCTGTCACGCGTAAAAGTAAACCAGTAAGGATGTAGTACCTTCGTAAGTGAACGCTTCGATCGTTTGTTTCGTTATCAGTGAGGAGACAGAAAAATGATCTGTTTCTCTGTCCTTCTATCTTTCTCTCTTTCTCTCTCTCTCTCTCTCTCTCTCTTTCTTTTTCTTTCTTTTTTCTGTTTGTCTCTCTCTCTCTCTCTGTCTCTCTCTCTCTCTCTCTTTCTCTCTCTCTTTCTCTCTTTTTCTTTTTCTTTCTTCCTTTCTTTCTGTCTCTGTTTCTCTTTTTTGTCTTCTTCTCTGTCTCTTTCTGTCTCTCTCCATGCACGTGAATTTTATTTCGAAAAAAGTCAATCGTCGTCGTCGTCGTTTCGATTTTTGTACATATACATACATATACCTATATATATATATATTATATATGCATAAGAATATATACATACTTACATAAAATATATAAGTGTGTGTATATATATATGGATATATATAAATAATAATAATAATAATAATAATAATAATAATAATAATAATAATAAGATTCTCACCATTTCCATCCTGAAGCGTAGATTAGAATTGCTTGCCGTAGAAAATCCGAGTGACGTTGTAAATTGTAATAGCTGTGAATCATATTTTCCGAGCTCCTCTCTAATGAGAAACAAAACGATAAAAAGATGATCGAGGCGTACATTTTCGAAAGGACAAATCCTCTGCGTATGTACAGATTATATGTATATATATATATATATATATATATATATATATATATATACACATTTTGTCGTGCATATATATGTATAAATATTTTATATATATATATTTATTTATTTATTTATATATATATAAATATTATTACATATTATATATATATATATATATACACAATAAATATACTATCTACCTATCGTAATTCGTTGCTGAATGTTGTACCGATGCTTACACGTAAAAAAATACACGCTTGTTTGAGCCTCCGCCCGAATTTAAGTTAATGACCAAAAAAAAAAAAAAAAAGAGAAAGAAAAAAAAACGAAGAAAAAAAAGAAAAAAAGAGAGAAAAAAAAAAGGGAAAAAAACAAACGAACAAAAACAAAAAGAAAAGAAAAGAAAAGAAAAAAAAGAAAGAAAAAACAAAGTCCCCCTTCGGCTTTAATTGCATAGCTATGACTATTAATCTCAGCTTTATTCTGGTCTCAGTAACGCGAAAGGGAGGAGTTCTCGGACAAATTTGAGGCGCTCACTTAGTCAACCACTGGGTATCAATCAGCTTTCACCCTTGATGCGCACCAAAACTGCAGGTAAGAGAAAAACCATTCACGAGATATCTTCGGAAGATTCGGTAAACGAAAGAAGTTTTGCTTTTAATCAACAAAAAACATACTACATACACACTTAATACTTATTGTAATTTTCACTACTTCAGAATATTTTTTTCTTTTTTACACCTTACCGTTTGATATGAAACTTATTCCATTCGAAAGTTCTTTCTACTGAAAAGTACCTCACTCACCCCGCCAAAAGAAAAAAACAAAGTACATACGTCATTTGATTAAATCAATGCGCGCTATCTCTCCTCTCTTACATAACTCCCCTTTACATGTATTTCTACCTTTCTAATAGTCAGTGTTATTCGATTATTATTTCTTATTAGATAGAAATACCCTGAAACATTGTAAAAAGTCAGCATGTGCACCTTAAGTAGAAGACACAGTTGAAAGTTCATCGCTCTCTTTGGACCGCGAATGCATTTAGTAAAGAGAAATCACATCGTCATGAACCGCTCTGCACCTGTAATTTCTATATATATAAGTACAAACGTATATATACATATGCATGTACGTAAGCATATATATATATATATATATATATATATATATATATGTACATATCTATCTATGTATCATTTGATCTTGTCGTAAAATCAAGAGAGAACGTTGCTTCTAACCCATACCCAATCGTTCAATCTCCCATCGTATTGAAACGCTTCTGTTCGCAAGGCTGCAGTAGAACCGTTAGATCGTTCCAATTTTGATGGATCTCTCGAAGTGGAGATATGAAAGGTGATGAAGGAAACGAAATAAAAGAAGATAGAAAGACACAGAAAAAGAAATAAGAAGAAAAAAGAAAAGAAAAGAAAATAACAAAGATTGATCTTCATCTTTTTCCCGTTGTCATCGGCAGAACGAACTGGATGTGGAGATAAAGAAATAGAGGGGGAGATAGAGAGAGAGAGAGAGAGAGAGAGAAAGAGAGAGAGAAAGAGATAGAGAGAGAGAGAGAGAGAGAGAGAGAGAAAGAGTGAAGTCGATGATGCTCTCTTCCTAGGAAACTAAAATTACGTCTACTTCGAGGCGAAACTCGAAAGAAGTTGGGGTATCGTGTGCGTGCTGAAGGAATCACGTATAGTTAACTCTCATGTCGACTGATACATCGATCTTTTTGTAATCTAGGGGCGAGATTACCCGGTGGAAATGTCCTGTCCGAGGACGAACAGGATGGTAGAGGTGGTGGTACCTCAGATGACGAGATGATGTCCGATTCCGAATCATCCATCGCCTCGCTCACGGACAGAAAGAAGTCTTTCGAGCAGACAATGGACGAGGAGGTGGTAATCCTGGCCGAGGCTGTTTGGGATCACGTAGCAATGGAACCGGAGGAATTGGCCTTTCGAGCTGGTGACCTCATCGATGTTCTCGACACGATCGACAAGGATTGGTGGTGGGGTAGCTGCGGAGGTGAACGTGGCTGGTTTCCTGCTGCTTTCGTTAGGGTATATATTTTTCTAATCATTTTTTTCGATAACATATGAATCATTTCAGAGAGAGAGAGAGAGAGAGAGAGAGAAAGGGAAAGAAAACTGAGTCATTATTAAAATATTCCAAGTTTTCTAAACATTATCTCTTCAATGACATTTCAATTATAGTTGCGGGTAAGTCAAGAAGACACTGTCGAAGATTGTTTGGCCGCAATAGCCTCCGGAGGTACGTCGAACTCCCAAAGAAGACGCACAAGCGTGTCGTTGCTATCGAACGAACAGGTCAGGACGAGCGTAGTTCGTGAATTGGTCCAAACCGAGAGAGACTTTGTTAAGGTTTTAAGGGACGTTACCGAAGGTTATATAGCGGAATGTCGAAGACGTACCGACATGTTCAATGAAGAACAAATAGAAACGATCTTTATCAATATCGAAGAACTTCTAGACTTTCAATCAGAATTCTTAAAGGATTTGGAATCTCGTATTGATTGGAATTCACCGCACAAGAGCTGCGTTGGCGAGTGTTTCCTCAAACACGTGAGTAAGCAAAGTGGACAACTGATTTCGTTCTCCTCCATCTTGAAATTATTTTGGTAATATCAAAAGATATTTTTATCGAAAATATCAAATTAAAACGCTTGCATAATATTTTTAGAGAGCAGGCTTTCGAATGTATTCTGAATATTGCAACAGCCATCCAATGGCAACCGCCACACTGCAGGAACTTTATCAGCACAATCGTTATAGCAAGTTTTTCGAGGCTTGTAGACTGATGCGTGGTCTGATAGAGATACCTTTGGATGGATACTTGCTTACGCCGGTTCAACGGATATGCAAGTATCCCCTGCAGTTGGCGGAGTTGTTAAAATACACGAAAGCGGACCATCCAGATTATCATAAAATTCAAGAAGCTTTGGAAGCGATGCGAGGCGTTGCTGTATTGATTAACGAAAGAAAAAGACGGATGGAAAGTCTAGAAAAGTTGGCTGCTTGGCAACTCAGGGTCGAAGGATGGGAGGTAAGTATTTGATTCATGATAATTTTCGTTAATTTTGTTAAGCATATTATTTCATCGTTTAAATATATTATATTATGTGTTGATCTTTAGGGCGAAGATCTCATAGAAGTATCTTCTCAACTGATTTATCAAGGTGAAGCTATGCGAGTAACCACTGGCATGTGGACAAACAACATCACGCTTTTCCTCTTCGATCATCAGCTCGTCTATTGTAAGAAAGATATTTTGAAACGTAACACTTACGTTTACAAGGGTCGTATTTATCTCGATACAAGCGAAGTCATCGACGTGCCGGATGGAAAAGGTATATATTGTTATTAAACTTTTTCATTAGACCAATTAACAACCGGTAACCGGTAATAATATTCTTGCAGATCATCAGTTGGGTGTTACGGTCAGGCATTGTCTGAAAGTTTATAGCTGCGTACGAGACAAATGGTTGTTGTTCTGTTGTCGTACAGCCGAAGAGAAACGTCGTTGGTTGGTAGCAATGGCCGAAGAACGACGACTAGTAGCTCAAGATAGGAACGATGGACTGGAATTTCCAGCTGCTGCTCGGCAACTCGCCAGATTGGCGGCTACCAGACAGCGTAACAGGCCACCCGTAAAACCTCGCAGTATGCAAACTGTTTTATATGTAAAATCTTGATCCCTCGGCGAAGGAGAAAGGTACGAGATGGAACTTGAATTTTAACTGTTTTTTTAGGCAAATCGTATAAGAGAGAGCCAACGTACGACGTGTCAAACGTAGTAACGCAAGGAACAACGAATTCATTGGGCCGTAAAGTCGGTACATGGTTTACGTTCGGTAGCAGCAAGAAAAGTGCACGACCTCAACCGTCCTGAGACAGGCCCACCTTCGTTCCGTACATCGATTTGTAAAGACACTTCAACGTGAACAAGCGCTCGATCGTACTTCCACGATCGTGAATTCTAACGATCTGATGAAGACATCATTATCAGCGCTCATCGAATGTACGGTACGAAGGTACGTCAAATTTTTTTTTATCGTTCGTCCTGCTGTACTATGATATAGATAATACATACGTATAAAAGAGAAGAAAATCAAAGTACAGCTGCGATGTAAAATAAGATTAGCTCGTATATAAACATCTTGAAATGTAGTGAAATTACATGATTGTTGTTCTGCATCAAACTATTATTCTACGATTCCGAAGAGAAAAAAAAAGAAAAAGAAAAAAGAAAAAAAGAAAACTAACAGCAGATCTATTATGTCAACGATCCTTTCGTTCACTGCCTCGCTGAATAAGAACGTGTTTCGACAAGCACCGCCGCGCTAACTTCGCTCCCTAAAAACTATTCCTTTGATCTCTCCGATGAAACGCACTTCGCTTTTAAAAAAAAAATAAAAAAAAATAATAATAATAATAATAATAATAATTTAAAAAAGTCCGATATATATATATATATATATATACATACATATATCTTAACTGTACATTAAAGTTCTTGATCGAGCCAAAGCAGATAAATATGAAAGATTCTTCTAATTGGACGTGTTGGTCGTTTGGAAGAAGTATTGTCGGAGGAGAAATGTAATAAGCTAGAGGGATAAGAATATCATTTAGCGATAGTTAGTAAATGTATAAAAATGAAATAGTATGCTTTTGAAATACTAAAGGGAAAGTACTAGTCACTTGTATCTGCGAACTGTAATAATGACAATGATCAATGTTAATCTTCTTCAATACGTGGAATGGCTTTATACGAATGCATTTAGAATGAACGTTGAGCAATCTATTTTTTTTTTTTTTTCCTTTTAATAATCGAAAGACTGATGAATATGATACGCGCGCTTGTATAGGAGAAAATAATTATTGCGGAACATGATTAAAGGGTCTTTCGTAAATGACATCTCAAATGGGCTCCTTCGTAACTTTTATTACCTCCTCATTAAATTTAATACTTTGTTATTCCACGTGAACTCTGTAATTATGATAATTAATACTCATAATAGTTTTTCCAACGATTGAATTAATTTTAACAATGCTACAATTTATGTACGTTTTCGTGGCATAACAAAGTGACACTTTGTTTGATGAAAACCTGAGTATAAAGGCAAAAGAAAAAAAAAAAAAAGAATATACATATATTTATCACTGGGTATGTAAATATAGTACGCATATCAAAGCCCTCGTCGTTACACGAAGACCATCTAAGAAATCTGCACGTTTTTTTTCTAATCTTGTACAGAACGCGAGGATTCGTAATAGAAGAAAATCGATTGAACGGTAAAGAATGAATTTTGAGATGAAACGTCTCCCTAAATGAAATTTCTTCAAATTCGACGCGCGAAAGTTCGAAATTTAAAGGGGGGAAAAAAAAAAAGAAAAAAAAAGAAAAAATGGAAAAAAAGAGAAATAAAAGAAAAGTGAAAAAAAAAACAAAAAAAGAAAAATTACGAAATAATAAACAAAAAATAAAGATTTGCTCTCACCGATCGAAAGTTCTCAACACTGCCAATATGTTTGAAGAAACATCTTTGTTCGATCAATTTCTACACATGTCTGCTTTGATAAACTAAAAAAATAAAAAATCACAATTGTATGCTGAGGAAAAAAAAAACAGAAAAATGTTATCGTTATGGCTTCGTACATGTATTTTTCTTTTGTTCGGTACCATTTTCATTTCAATGCACGATTATAAAGAAAAAAAAATATTTAGACAAAGGAGGTGGGAGGAAGGATAAACTAAATATATAAGTTTTCGCTCAGTTTCTGGCATTGCATCTACTATATGACAAAGACAATATAATCAGTAGATCAGGAAAATAAGATTCCTATTAAGCTGTATAGAAATTGTTAGTAACGTTGACGCTTAGATTAGAAAGGTACATACATTTATTGCTGGACCTAGCTCTTCTCAGAGTTATTTTTATAGTACGAATTTTTTTATTTCAATGTGATTACTTTGTGTATACTATTGCACAAGGACAAGCTATAAAAATGATTGACTTATTTAAAAATATCTCGTGTCTCTCTCTCTCTCTCTCTCTCTCTCTCTCTCTCTCTCTCTCTCTCTCTCTCTCTCTCTCTCTCTCTCTTTTCTATCTCTTTCTCTCTTTCTTGCGATAAAGGTATTAGAGAAAATAATAATATTAAATTATTTATTATTCACCAAAAGAAATTATCGAATTTATGCTTAAACAGATAAGAAAGGGAATACTATCAGACGAACGTTGATTTCGACAATTAATATTTATTTTCAATATAATCTTAAATAATCGATGAAACGTTCTAAAAATCTAAAAGATATTTAGAGACACGCAACTATAAATATCATTCCTTCTCTTGTACTATTATTGGAAGTCTCTCTTGCCATTATTGCTTAGAGCCAATAAAGTACAAGATGTTAATCCGACTACTTCTGAACAGCTACATACAAAAAGTAAAATAATGTGCTTTGAAGCAATAATAATACTAGAAATTACATATACATACATATACATATACATATACATATACATATATATATATTTTCCCCTAAATTTGATAATGATAACTGTATGTGCATATTTAAGGAGAAAAAGATATAAAGCTCATTTTGTTATTATCAACATACTTAGATATATCATGGCAATGAATTAAGAAAATAATACTGAACATGTTGCTCTGTTGAATGTACATAAATAGATGTATTTTACAATTGTAAATACTGTAGACCTACCAGTTAACAATTTCAACGCATTTTAGAATAAAAAAAGTAACTTTCAAGTTAGTTATATGTAACATTTGAACGAAGTTACTTATTGATTATGGCGTAATGTTTTGTATATTTGTACATCTGATTTAATGATTTTAATAATAAATTTTCAACTTTTAATCTATCATTCGCGTTATATATAGTTATTGTTTATAGTATATCTGTACAGTTTGAATTTATAACTATATAATTGCGATTTATCGTTTATCATATACAAGTATTGTTGAGTTAAATACGTGTAAATAAACATTTTGTAATTACTACAGTCACGTTTTATTGCGCTACGTATATCCTGTAGATGTAGTGTAAAAAAAGTTATGGAACACATTGGTCAAAATTTAAAAAAAAAAAAAAAGAAAAAAAAAAGAGAGAGAAAATATCGAATATCATAAAGATAGAGTTAATGATTAAGTGCCTAGGATATAATTGGTATTATTAGACAATTGTGATTTTAATTGGTAATTATCTTTTCTCAATTGAGTTGCAACTTGTCTGAGAGCTTTGGCTTCCTCTAATAACTGCGTATTCTCTTCTAAATTTTGAGCATACTTCTCTCGAATCTCTCGTAATTCCGTTATATATTCGCATGCTCGTGCTAGAATATCACCCTTGCTCTATCAACAAAAAATATTTCAAAAAAAGTTCTGTAATAACAAAAATAGAGAATATAATATACTATAATGTCTTACTTGTAATTCAGAAGTAGCTTTTATATCTCCTCCGCTAATGCCATTTTCATTATCTGGTAAAAGCTTTCCCAATTTGAAGATCCAATTGTTGATCTTGTCTCTTCTACGTTTTTCTACTTCGTTATGCGTTACTCTTCTTCTTTCGTCTCTCTAAAGAAAATTTTTTTTTAAAGAACTATGAATACAATTTGTTGAGTATGATAGGATGGAAAAACAGAATAACATTATACATTATAAACATTATCTTACTTTTTTGATACCTGGAACAAGATTCTCAGATGTTTCTATTTGTACTTTGGCAACGCGAGGTATTACATTCCTTCCAGAATCTGAGGTAAGCACTTCATTATCACTACTCAACAAATAAAACTGTCCATTTATTGGGGAAGTCAAAACTTGTACGGTATTATTTACAGGCGTTGCTATGGATAATTCATTATTGTCCAAATGATTATCACTAACTTGTACAACACGATAAGCCACAGCACTTTCGTTTCTATTTATCTGACAAAATTGATATTGAACATTATCATCTTCTGATGTAATTTCTATATTACCATCAGTATCTATTATTTCAGCTTCCTCCAAAACCATCCCGATGTTATCGTCACAGATTGTTCCCTCGTCTGTACTACAAAATAAAATCAATGTTATTGATTTTTTTGAATTAACTATTCAAATAAACATATACATTCATGTAGATTCATTGTATAACATCGTATTCAATTCATTTAAATCTTTTAATTATTTATTACATTTAAGTATAAGAAGAAAATAATTGGACAAAAGAAAAATTAAATAAATATTCTATTGCATTATATAAAATTGACAAATTAATAATACAGCAAACAGAATAATCAAAGTAATAAAATAAATTAATAACATAACAAACAGAATGATCAAAGTAATAAAACTATCTATTCTCGTATAAATGAGAAAAGAATTAATATGCGAGACATAACCTACCTCTCTTCTATTCGACCAAAATGATGTATAATTTCCATCGCCGCCTGCGACTAAATTAATCTTTAAATCCTTTTATTAATAAATCAATTCAATTCATGGTTAGTCTTTTTATCAAATCTATACACTGGCAGCATCTTTTCAGGAGTGACGCGACGCAGTAATGCGGAAGTAACCGATTGCCCGATACACATTTTAAACGGAAAAGAAAGAATAATTCCATCGAAATTATATTAATAATTATATTTCACTTATCCTCGAAGAATGAAATTAAAAATATATTTTAAATGGGATAATGTTCTCTATCATTCTTTTATATTTTTTCATTATAAAATTATGAAAAAAAAGAATTTATAAATAAAATATTATTGATAAAATTTTTTCAAATGCATTTTCAAAAATCTACGATATTTTCCATTCTTAATGATAATCTTATATATGTAAATAAATTAGACATTTTATCAAATCATTTTCACATTGTATAAAGCTCGAAGAAAATTTGAATTTCGCGCAATATTAAGAAAAAAAAGTCATGATAAAATTGAATTAACTGTTCGCTATCTTTTGTTTGAAGCGTGTGTCACTTTAGCGACAGCTATGGACAAAATGTGAACTACGAATAAAAACGAGTAACGCCATCTTCATTATGCGTCTATGATAAGTTTATGTTGATTGTTTCCCTTTTCGCGCGTACATAACTATTGCTTTCGTATAGGTTAGAATAAATGGTGTTAGTAGAGATTCTATGAATGAACTTTTATACTTTTCATATGTATATCTTTGATGGTAATATATGTCTCGCTTTAATCCATGCTAGATACAATGTCGGTATGAATTTATTTCACGATAAAAGAAACCATAAAGAATAATAAATATAATTAACATATAAAATAATTAACATATAAAATAATTAATATATAAATTAACGAATTTAAAGAAATTATCTTTGAATTTAACAATAACTTATCTATTTAGAAATATTATTGACAATGTAAAGTATTAATGCTCTAGTATTTAATCAGCATTAGATTGAAATGATTTATAAAATACATTGAAATAATTATTCTTCGTCCTTTAATACTTACAAATTTTATATTAATATTGTTTGAAATTTTACGCGGATTTCGCGTCTTTTTCATTTTTAAATGAATGTACTATTGTTTAAATATTTTCGTAGGGGTAAAAAAAAAAAAAGAAAAAACCAGGAATAGTGAACAAACTTAAAATAATATTATTTTATATTTCATATGGAAACAGTGTTTCTCTGTTGCACTTGTAGTTCGTATTATTTTAACAGATGTCGCTGAACTATCACACGCTTTAAACGAAAGGAATATTGACAGTATATATATGTATATAGTACAACACATATGACATAATCCCAAGTAAATAGGATTGTTTGTGTAAACATGTTGCTAAGAAACCGTATATATACTCTCGATGGCTTCAACGTATCGTCTTTTTATAACATACGAATAACGCAATTTTTTCAAAGTGAAATTTACTTTGTAACAATAAATTATGTTACTTAAATATTTAGGAACAATTGTATCGTCACACGTAGGTTATCTCATATTTTTATATAATTTTTATTTACGAAAAAAAAAGCTATTTACTTATATTAATATACGTTTATATTTTTGTTAATTATAGGAATGTGAAAACAAAGTTGTTAGCATAGTTTGGTCACCTAATAATCAAAAACTTGCTGTTGCTTCTACTGATCGTTCAATCTATTTGTTTGATGATAATGGTGTCAAAAAGGATAGATTTTCTACCAAGCCTGTGGAACCAAAGGTATTATATTTTTAATTATTAATATATATTAATTATTTATTTATATTTGTTTAAAAAATTGTTAACAATTAATGCCTTATTATTGCAGTTTGGTAAAAAGAGTTATCTCATTAAGGGTATAGCATTTTCTCCAGATTCGATAAAAATAGCTGTAGGTCAAACTGACTGTATGGTTTATGTCTATAAAATTGGTGAAGAATGGTAATTATAAATTTTACATAATATTATCTCTATCAGATGATTGAACGTTAAACGTTTGTTTTATATGTAAAAAAAAAATTTGTTTCGTAGGGGTGAAAAGAAAGTTATATGCAATAAATTTAAACAAAGTTCAGCAGTCACTTGCTTAACATGGCCTACAGAAGGGCCCATTATAATTGGTCTTGTGGATGGCAAGGTCCGTGCTGCATTTATAAAAACTCACAAAATACAAACCCTGTATACGGCGGATGCCATGACAATTGCATTGGCTACAAAGTAACATTTTTGATATTACGTATAAATGTTATAGTAAAATGTAATACTAAATATTTAAATTATTTTTATCTTACTTTTAAGTATTCGAGGAACTGGCTTTTTATCAAGTCATGCAGATGGTAGTATTATAAAATATTATGTAGCAGATGATGGAAATGTTGAACCCTCAGGCCGTGTTTGTACTCACAACGTACCAGCATATGCTTTAGCCTGGTCTCAAGCTCATATTATGACAGCAGGTTGTGATAAAAAGATAACTTTTTACGAATCACATGGAAAACTTGTTAAAACTTTTGATTATAGTAGAGAGAACGGTGAAAAAGAAATGACAGTTGCATGTTGTAGTCCCAGTGGACAAAGTATTGCCATAGGTTCATGGGATAAAATAAGAATATTTGATTGGATTCCTCGCCGAGGAATTTGGGAGGAAGCAAAGATAAAAGAATTGCCAAATTTCTATACAATAACAGCATTGGCGTGGAGAAAGGATGGTTCAAGATTAATTGTTGGTGGTTTGTGCGGTGCTGTAGAACAATTTGAAACAATATTAAGACGTACTCTTGTTAGGGGAAGTCATGAGGTAGCTTATGTTGGTCCTAGCCAAGTTATTGTTCGACCATTAAACGGTGCTAGTCAACCAGTTGTAATTAGATCACGTACGGGAAATGAGATAGAAGATGTAAAGATCTTAGGCCGTAAGGACAATAATATAGTGGCACGTACATCAACAACATTATTGATTACTGATATTGAACAAAATCTTATTAGTGAAATACCTTGGGAAGATAGAAGCAATAATGAAAAATTCTTTTTCGAATATCCTGGAGTTTGTTTGATATTTTGCGCTGGCGAATTAACAATTGTTGAATATGGTAAAAATGAAATACTTGGATCTGTTAGAACTGAAGCGATAAATCCTCATGTTGTTAGCATAAGAATTAATGAAAGACACGTGCCTGATATGGCAGACAATAAAAGATTAGCATATCTTTTAGATCCTCGAACAGTACGTATAATCGATTTTATAACGGGCGTTACTATCAGCATGATAACGCATGACGTACGAGTAGATTGGTTGGAATTAAGCGAAACAGGGCACAGACTTCTATCACGAGATAAGAGAGGAAGATTATGGTTAAGTGATGATCAAGGAGGTAGAACTTTATTGCTGACAGGAGTAGGTTTTGTATCTTGGGTACCTGGAAGTGACGTTGTTGTAGCACAAACAGGTCAAACATTAGCAGTATGGTATAATGTTGATGCTCCGGAAGCAGCAACGCTTATACACGTTCGTGGTGACGCTGTAGATATCGTTAGAGAAAATGATCAAACATCGGTGATAGTTGAAGAGATGGGTAACAGAGTATCTTATTTACTTGATGAAGGACTGATTGAATTTGGTACGGCATTACATGATAATGATTTTGGAAGGGTAGTCTTGTTTTTAGAAGAATTAGGTGATACTCCACAAGCTGAAGCTATGTGGGAAAATGTTGCAAGAAATGCTATGGCTGCTAGACAGTTATCAATTGCAGCACGATGTTATGCTGCTCTTGGTGATGTAGCTTGTTCGAAATTTCTTAGAGAAATTGTCAATGTTGGAGAAAAATATGCAATGGAGACAGGTAACGATTCATTGACAAGTCCAGATTGTTGGGCAATGCTGGCAATATTGAATGGAGAATTGAAAACTGCAGAAGTCATTTATCTAGAACAAAATGAATTAGATAAAGCTTTGGATATGTATCAAAAATATTGGAATTGGGAGGATGCATTAAATTTAGCACAAAATCGTGGTTGGTCTGGTTTAACGGAGCTAAAAAATCGTCATTTAAAATGGTTACTCGATAATGGACAAACAGCCAAAGCAGCAGCTATAATAGAAACAGATAATCCACAACGCGCAATGAAACTTTATTTAGAATCTCGTAGACCAGGACGTGCAGCTAGATTATTATTGATTAATAATGAATTATTAGAAGATCCAACGATCGTAAAGGAAGTAGTACGAGCTTTAAAGGCAACTGATTTGATGGAATTAGCAGGAGAAATTTTAGAAAGGACATCTGATGCTACCGATGCAATTAAATGTTATGCCGAAGCTGGTGTATATGCGAGAGCGTTAGAGTTGGCTCGTAAAATCGATCCAACGTCCGTTGTTATTTTAGAAAAGGAATGGGGAAAACATTTAGCTGCAAATGGTCATTACGATGCCGCAATAAATCATTTTATCGAAGCAGGTGAAACTGTTCTTGCTTTAAATGCAGCGATTGATGCCCGACAATGGAGAAAAGCATTACAAATTATGCAAGTTGTCGAAGACGATGATCCACAAATACGTAAGCAATGTGAAAAACTTGGAGAATATTTTGAATCAATAGGAGATAAAAATTTAGCCGAAAAGTTATTTTTACGAGCACAGAATCCCCGAAGGGCAATTGATACTCATATACAATCTGGCAATTGGAGTCGTGCACACGAGGTAGCCATAGAATATATGAACCCTGAAGAAGCTAATGAGGTTCTTGCAAAACATGCAGAGACCTTAGAACAAACTGGTGATTTACGACATGCCGAAACACTTTATGTAGCAATCGGCGAATATGATTCAGCAATAGCGATGTATAGGAAGGCTGGTCAACGTAATGACATGATAAGATTGGTTGGAAAATATAGATCAGAGTTACTTCAAACTACTCATGCTCATTTGGCGCGTGAATTGGATGCCGCAGGCAAACCGCGAGAAGCTGAAGAACACTTTTTAGGAGCTAATGATTGGCGAGGTGCTGTGGCATCTTATAGATCAGCCAATATGTGGGAGGATGCTTTACGTGTTGCAAAACAATCTTCCGGAGAAAAGGCTGCACACCAGGTAAAAACATATTGATCTATTTAAAAGATTTCTTTTATTTTTCATATAATATTCATCGCTAATATTCTATATAGGTTGCTTTAATGTGGTCACGTACATTGGTACCAGAATTAGCTGCCAGATTGTTAATGCGTTTAACATACTTTGAGCCTTGTCTTCAAATCGCATGTGAAGCTGGTATATTCGATTGGGCTTTAGAAATTGCAAAGTATGGTACGTCTGACCAAAAGAAAGAAGTTCATTATAAAAAAGCCATGGCATTGGAAGACGAAGGAAGATTTACCGAGGCAGAAAAAGAATTTATTCAAGCTGGAAAAGCCATGGAAGCTGTACAAATGTATATACATACTCGAGATTGGGAAGCTGCGGAGGATGTTGCACAGTCTCATATTCCAGAAGCATTAAATCAAGTTCTTGTTGCAAGAGCTACTGAAGCAACTGAAGCACAAGATTATAGTCTTGCAGAATCTCTTCTTTTAAGAGCACACAAACCAGAGATAATAGTAGATCATTATAAGGTAATAAAATCTCGTGCTCTCTCTCTCTCTTCCTCCTTCCCTTTCTCTCTTAAAAAATCATGTTAGTATATTACATTTCTGATTATTATATAGAAAGCTGGTATGTGGTCCGAAGCATTGAGAGTATGTCGAGAATATTTACCGAGTCAAGAAGCTGCGCTTCGTCGAGAATTAGGACAAAAAAGCGCAGGGATCGATGGCTTGAATGCTTTAGAAGAAGCTCAAAAGTGGTTAGAAGTTGGCGAAGTACGTGCTGCGTTGGACATTCTTATCTTAGATCCCCAAGCATCGAAAGCTTCTTTAATCCGGGCAGCTGAAATTGTTCTTCATCAAGCTGATCCAGAAATTGCTATAGAAATTGGTGGTAATTTAGGATCACGATTATTTGATGCCGGTGAACATGCTCTATCTGCTCAGGTAAATTTTTATCTTAATAGTAAAACTACTAATCAGATTCATAAAAAAATTTTTTAAAGTCAATGCTTCTGCGAAATAGGTCTTTTTACAAGCTGACAGGATCAAAGATTCCATTAATACTTTAGCTGCGGTAAACGAATGGGAAAGAGCTCGACGTATCGTAAGAGAACTCGCTCCAGAATTGGAATCATATTTGGAAGGGAAGTACAAGGATGCCATGATAAGGGATGGTGAAATAGATAAACTAGTAGAAGTTGATGCCGGTGCTGCTTTAGAAATGCTCGCACAAAAAGGTCAATGGGATCAAGTGTTCGAAGCGGCCAGTATGCAAAGTCCAGAATTATTACACAAATATGTCGCACAACGTGCAGCCCAATTATTAAAGTCACATTCATCAGTACATGCTCTTAGACTTTATATGCAATATGGCGCATTACCAATTCCACAATACTTTAATCTTTATTTTCAATTATCCGAAACCGTTCTAAATTCCGACGAGACATATAACGAGTATAAATATTTATCACAATTACGGAGCATCCTATTCGAATTATGTAAAAATTTGGAATCATCCTCGGCGAGCGGTGCGAAATTTCGTAAATTTCTAGAGGCATCTCATTATTCCGCAGTCAGATGCGGATGTCGATCGTTCACAGGATTATCAGGAATAGTAACTAAAACTTCGATTACTCTTATACGTTATTCCGACATTTTGTTACCAGATCGTTGCTACTACGATGCCGGTATGGATGCACGATCTAATGGCTTAACTAGCGAAGCATTTATATTTTTAAATCATTTTTTGGATCTCGAAGAATGCATAGAAGAAGGGGATAGCAATATTCTCGATGTTGATGATCTTAGAGTAACAGATTTTCCATTGCAAGTACCTTTACCTGCTAATCTTAGCATGACGAAGGAGCAACGAGAAGAAGCTAGAGAATGGGTATTAGCAATTTCTATGGATCAAAAAGTAGAACAAGGCTTGCCGATCGATCAACGTGGAATTTATGTCGGTTCGTTAACAAGTTCTATGAGCAATTCAATACCATTACAAGAATGTACGCTAACAGGATATCCGATTCGTGGTCCAGTAATTAAATTTGAAGAAAATAATCGTGTAACTGATCGCGACGATTGGACTAAATTAGTTAACATTGCCCGACAAACATCGCCTGATTCTGCGTTAAACGATATTATATTATTTATACAAGATTGGTGCGGTACCGTTCCAACTTATTCGTTTTGAAAAAAAAAAATAAAAAAAAAATAAAAAAAAAAGGAAAGAAAATAATATATTTTTTATTATAGATGTGTTATACTAATAAATATCTTTGTGTAATATGGATTCTACAAAATTTGTTATAATTTGGATACGTACATTGTAATATAAAATTTTGTTCAGCATATCGAAGAACATAACCTAAATAAAATGAAATTTAATCGATGATTATAAGAATTGTTCCGTAACGATTTGAAAAATGTGGTGGCCCTGAAAAGGGCCGTATATGGTGGTTGTAGCAGTAGTAGTAGTAGAGTTAGTAGTTATTATTGATTGATTAATTAAGCTTTCTTTTCAGTCTTTTTCGGTAATAATACAGCTTGAATGTTTGGCAAAACACCACCTTGAGCGATGGTAACACCAGACAACAATTTGTTCAATTCCTCGTCATTACGGATTGCCAATTGCAAGTGTCTTGGAATAATTCTAGTCTTCTTATTGTCACGAGCAGCATTACCAGCCAATTCCAAAACTTCAGCGGCTAAATACTCCATAACAGCAGCCAAATAAACCGGTGCTCCGGCTCCAACGCGTTCAGCGTAATTTCCTTTTCTTAAAAGCCGATGAATACGGCCAACTGGAAATTGTAATCCGGCTCTGTTTGAGCGAGACTTTGCCTTTCCCTTCACTTTACCGCCTTTTCCGCGTCCAGACATTTTCTCTTTGGCTTTGTCGTAAAAAATAAAACAGAACGAACCGACCGACAAAGGAGTTCAGATCACTATGCATCTAAGCGCGCCTTCATCCGTGTATTTACCCGTTCCTACCACTTTTTTAATGAACCAATAGCAATCGTCCAAAAGTCATTGACCGAATACTGCGCTCTGATTGGTACACTGTAGAAGTATATAATCGAACACGCAAGAGGTTTGCATCATTCCAATCGACACTACTCACGAGAGGACTTTGTCCTACAACGAAAAGAAAAAGAAATTATTTTCAAGATGCCGCCAAAAGCCAGTGGCAAGGCCGTGAAGAAAGCTGGAAAAGCTCAAAAGAATATCAGCAAAGCTGATAAAAAGAAAAAAAGGAAAAGGAAGGAAAGCTACGCCATTTATATTTATAAAGTACTTAAACAAGTTCATCCTGATACCGGAATTTCAAGCAAAGCTATGAGTATTATGAATAGTTTTGTCAATGACGTTTTCGAACGAATAGCTGCCGAAGCTTCGAGATTGGCTCATTATAATAAACGTTCGACTATAACTTCCCGAGAGATACAAACTGCCGTACGACTTTTACTTCCAGGTGAACTCGCTAAGCATGCCGTTAGCGAAGGCACCAAAGCTGTTACTAAGTATACCAGTTCAAAATGAATTGATATACGTATGGTTCAAAATGAATTGATATACGTATGGTACAAACGGTCCTTTTTAGGGCCACAAATAATTTATTTTCGTTGGATGATTTCTCGAAATAATTTATTTTACTCGTGGTGTCCATCTAGAAAATATTTCTTTTTCGCTTAACACGAATTATATTAGCTTGATTGTTCTTTATAGAAAATATATGTTAAGATTACAACTATGAGAAATTAAATAAATTTGTTATTTCGTTATATTGAGATAATTCCAAATTGGATGTATATCCAAATAAAATATTTTTTTATATGAATTTTATTTGATCTGTGAATTTTGAAAAAAGAAGAAAAAATCTTTATTTTTATCTAAATCTATAGATCAGATATAATATATTTATATGTACGTTGCTGCAACAAAAGATAATATCGAAGCTCCTCTTATAATAATAATAGCTTCGACGAATATTCCACGAATTTAGACCTCATCGTCCGTTTTAACTCGAGATTATATCGTACGGACGACACAAAATTGTATACGAATGACCAACCTGATAAAAAATAAAAACTGTATATATTTTTACGATCGTCCCCATTTAGATTCAATGCTGTGTAATGTGTTATTACTCGATCACGGTATTTCCAATTCGATTGTCTATAAAAAAAAAAAAAAAAAAAAAAAAAAACGAATAAATATTATAGAATAGAGATCTATTTCTATCTATAATTATCACATTTAATCTTACATATTATATATGTTCATTCGAGCTCTTTTAATAAATATCATTTGTACCAAACGCAGCGACATGAGAGAGCTGTAATGCAAACAATATATCTTTCTCACAAAGAAGAAACTAAGCGTACTTTGTTCTTATGCTTTATACGCTTGCAAATTTATAATAGAGATAACGTAATGCGAAATAGATCATCGTTTTATCGGTTTACGTCATATAGACGACAATTCCATCGGATGTGTAAGTTATCGATGTGTATTCGAGACAATAAGTCCGAACGAGAAACCCAATGATTCTTGTCATTGTACGATATTTTTAATAATCTTAATAATCAAATATTATCAATCCTTCGTATACGGAGCCATAGAACGTTCCTTCTTGTTCTTCTTCTTTATTGTTGTGCGATCATCAACCACATAAGACAACATTGATCGCACGATTTTACGCGTCGTTGTAAAATATCTAGTCAAAACTTAAGGCCTAATATATTAAATATATATATATATTTATTTTACGTCAATGTTATAAGTAGTTACAAAACTTTCGTCATACATATTCGTCATACATTCGTATATTATAATATATAAATTTTCCTCTATTATTTAAATAGTATATATAGTTGTTAAAATAATTACTATATATTTTCAGGAAATATATATATGTATATATATATATATTGTATATCGAACAATTTATTACATTTTGAACTTTAAAACGGATAAAGAGAATTAAGCACATTAAAAAAACAGAGGACAAAGATGGACATATATAGGAAAATGAACACGTAAAACAGGCCTTATAAAGTAAATAAAAAAAAAAAAAAAAAGTAAAACGAAGAATCGTATTACTATTCGAGAATATATATATCATTTTAGATTTTATTGTTACAATTCTTTTCGTTCATTATTTATTTTCAATTTATTTTTATCGCGCAAAAATTTATATTGTTAATACGCTAATATAAACTTTTTGATACAGAAAAGGGTGGAGGAAAGTGTTTTCTCTTAAAACATATCTAAATCTTTATAAAAACAAATAATCCATGTGAATATATTTAGTTCCATATCGTTGAAAGGGATTTGGTGGCCCTGAGAAGGGCCGTTGTATTTGTTATTTTTGGGAAGGGAACCCTGGAAAGGGGAATTGCATTATTAGGAAAGGGCCCTAAAAAGGACCGTTTGTATTTATCTTCGAGATGACGTAACCAAAATCGTTCAATAGAATGTGCCTTTTTAGCGATCGAATGTAATTAAAGTCAAATTGGCTCTTTTTTCTTTTTTGAACGATTGAAAAATTTAACCACCAAAACCATAAAGTGTACGTCCTTGTCGTTTCAATGCATAAACGACGTCCATAGCCGTGACAGTCTTTCTTTTAGCATGTTCAGTATAAGTTACTGCATCGCGGATGACGTTTTCAAGGAAGACTTTCAAAACGCCACGAGTCTCTTCGTAAATCAATCCGGATATACGTTTGACACCACCACGACGAGCCAAACGACGAATTGCGGGTTTAGTAATTCCTTGAATATTATCACGAAGAACCTTCCTGTGCCGCTTGGCACCTCCCTTTCCCAATCCTTTTCCTCCCTTACCGCGACCAGTCATTTTTGGTCGATTAAAAAAAAGAAAGATTAAAAAGAAGAAAAGTTACTAGAGCTTTTCACGGAACGATATCTCGAGAACTGAACCACTCGAATTGGCTGCAACAACAGTTGTGAGGTCTCCGAGGCATCGAGGCCGCTTTTATAACGTAGATTCTTACGTATCCCCCACCACAACTCTTACGACCAATCAGCGTAACGTTCAACGTACTTTCATATTAAATCGGACGATAGTAAAACTACCGTTGTTTGATTTTTTTTTCTTTGTTTTTTCTTTTTCTTTTTTCTTTCTTTCTTTTTTTTTTTTTTTTTTTTTTTTTTTTTAACATCCAGGTGAACTCGTTTAACGTGCTAATGAAGAAAGCATACAAATTTCTACTATATATTGGTATAATTTAAATTCGTAAATATAAATTCATTATTTATATTTTTCAAACATCGTATATATTAAATCGGATGTTAAAATTATATGATCATTGCCGGATTGATTGATCGGATGGACGACAATGAACAGCGTATCTATATACGGTCGATATTATTTATCTATTAATTAATAATCCTCCTCTGTGTTGTACGATAGATTTATTGTCTCGAGAACAAAGGTATTGTTTATTAATATAGATACGTTACGTTAATACGTAAATAATAAAATGACGATCTAATTCACATCACAGTATTGTAAATTTTCAATGTAAAAAAGGTATACGAGAATAAAAAAAAGCCAATTATTATAGTCTCCTTATTTCGAAAAGAGGAAACTCATGCTCGAGCTCGCGATATTTCAAATGACATTAGAGATTCATTGTATTCAAATAATATGATCGTATAAAGTTCGCTCTTGTTTTTATTTTTTTCTCCTGTTAATCGTTTCTACACAATTCTATTTTGTTTGAATAAGTACTCTCTTTAAACTGATACATTTACATGATTATCTTACTGTATACAAGCTAAACGTATTAAATTTTAATAGAAATTAAAAGAAATTTTTCTTCTGTATCGAAAAACAAATTAGAAAAAAGTAAAATTATCTATGGTATAAAGTGTATCATCAGTAGTATTATTAAAATATTATATATTTTTTTTGTTTTTTTTTGTTTTAATTATTATTATAATAAATCGATATAAATTAAATGAATGAAAATTGAAAATACGATGAGGAAGGAAGGAAGGAAGAAAGACATGTAAATCGATATTGTTTCTTTGATAAGAAAAATTGATGGCTCTAAAAAGGGCCCATTTGTAAATTTCTCTTCATGTTTTTTTTTTTTTTTTTTTTTTTTTTTTTTTTTTTTTTTTTTTTTTTTATATATATATATATATGAGATATTATATACCTCATAAATATATTTCTTTATCAATCCGACACCTTTGGATTTTTAGGAACGATACTAGTTGTTGCTTTCTTCAGTTTGGGAGAAGATTTAGTTTTGCTAGCTGATGCCTTCATGGTCTTCTTAGTTTTTGATAGAGTTCTCTCGGTTGTGCCGTTTTTTTCGAAATCTTTTTTTTTTTTTTAGCGACAGCAGCAATAGCAGTAGCAACAGTGGTAACAGCTTTAGATTTGTTTTTAGTAACAACTTTAGAAGACTTGTTTTTATCGACAGGTTTTTTAACGAAACTTATTGATGTCTTGGGAGCTGTCACTTATCTTCTTTTCAATAGATTCGTCGGTAATAGTTTTCTTTTCCATTGGTAATGCATTTTTCCTTTGCTTTTACATTACCGCTTTTTACCACGGGTGAAAGCTTTTAAACGATCCTGAATCTCCCTTATCTTTGGTTTGCACGAACGTACCATTATATACAGCATTCTTCAAATATTTCTTTATAAACGGCGTTATATCTTCTTACCAACTAATATAAGTTGCTACAATATATTTTCTAATTGCTTGAACCTTTACGATCTTTCAACTCTTTTAATAGCGACAATTACTATTTCAAAAGTTGGAGGATGAATTGATTTTGATTTTGAAGGCTCCGCTTTCTTTGCCTTTGGTCTAATCGTTTCAGTTTGTATTTTCAATTGACAATCCATTTGGTTTTGTTTCCTGAATCCTCCATTGCGATGTTTCCTTTTTTATATTTGAATAAGCGAAATGACGAAAGAAAATCGAACGCTTGTCGAACTGGTATAACAGAATAATATAATTTCTTTTTATACATTTGTGTGTGTATATATATTAGGGTGTCCCATAAATTTTTTTCTTTTTTTTTTCTTATACAAAATCAATAGACAATATTTGTTGTTTAAGGTTGATTTACTCTGTTATATATGAATCGTTCTGCTCTGTTACCTTCTTCCATCTCTCAGGAAGCCTAATTATGTCCTTTTTTCAAAATTGTTGAGACTTACTTGCAAAATATTCATCGAGGTGCGTTTTTATTTCGCTTTCCTCGTCGGTTCACCAATTTTGGCCATTTTTCGGTTATGGCGGCTTTCGAGTTGATTGCAATGTTTTACAAAAATAATCGTTTCATCTTGTGGAAGAAACTCGTAATATACCACACCTTTCTAGTTCCAGCAAATCCATAAAAGAACTTTTTTTGGATGAAATCCTAGCTTTACAACAGTTGAAGATCGATTTTCCTTAGACCAATGTGCATTTTCAATTTGATATAAAATCCAAATCTCATCTCCAGTGACGAGCATCTTTAAAAAAGGATTTTTTTCATATTGCTGAAGAAGGAAATCGCACGTAGAGATGTAGTTCATAAGGTCGGTTCACATATCTCATCTTGATTAAATGATTATGTACCGTTGTCGTGGGATTGTTAGTGGCATCCACTATCTCGTGGATTTTCAGCGAGCATATTCTTGATGAGGTCCGTATCCGTCATTCCTGGGCGGTCGCTGCGGTTTTCATCTTTTTCAAATCAAAGTTGCCAGCTCTAAATTTCTTAAATCAATTACAGACAATATTCTAATAGTCGTAGTATCATTCCCATAAACGGTGCAAATCTCATTTGTAGTGTCCTTTACACTATTACCTTTTTTAAAGCAATGAAGCATAACATGTCTCAAATACTTCTTTTATCTATCCATATTGAACAGCATAGAAAAAAATTTTAAAAGAGAATTTTTCAATAACGAAACATATTTTGAAAGAGCTGTAAGACGACTGAAATTGATGCCATAAAGGGACAATAAATAAACCTACATGTTTACTAACATAGCCGGCTTGAGGTCATACCTTCAGCTTGGCGTGGAAAAAACATATATATATATATATATATATATATATACATAGAATAGTAGATGTCGCTAGTTTCGCTCGCGCTGCTTGTCGCGACATCTTTTGTCATTTTCGGTAAGCGTCGCAACATCAATAACATGAATTCTCAAATATGTATGACAGCTAATAGGAAGGCATATTCGTAATTATAAGATCCCTATATATTCTAATTTGTGATATAAAATAATACATTTCAATTCAATATTTGATATTTACAGAGTGTAAGAAAACAAGTATTATAAAATGTTGTACTCTATCTCTTTCTAACGTACAAAGAAAACGAAGAGGAAAACTAAAACGCTTTATCTCAATCTCTCTCTCTCTCTCGTCGTTTCTTTTTTTTCGTTTTATTCTCCTTACACCATGGCTCGTTTCATCTTTTCGTTGATTTATCTTAGCTATAAAAATTTCATTTTTAAGGAAGGTTAGGTAGATAAACGATCGTTCGTTCCCGCCAACGGCATTGCTGCCTCTTGGGAATACTAGCATTATCCCTTTTATATTTATGTCACGTGACCCAAGTTACATCTTATGATTCGTTGTCGCATTTCTAATCTAACCTAACCTTAACAATTACTGGCATACTACAGATAATAATATTTTCATATTAATTGCTGATTACATCTGATTATCTGATTTTGTTTGAAAATCGTTCGTAATAGTTATACTTTTGATTGATTATATCGTTAAACGAAAATCAATATTGTTTATTAATAAAACGTATTCTATACGTTAATACGCAATTTTGTTTGTTGCATTAAAAACAACGGGTTCAATAGGCTTATACGTAATTCGATGATCGAAATCATAAATCTAAGAGAATGTCAATCCTTTTATGTAACTTGCGATTGGAAATACGTGGAGACAAACCATAAAAAATCATTTTTATGATTCTATTTCTATCTTGCTGTACTGTGTTACTAAGTTACCATGAAATGTCTCATCAAATTTATATACCATATATGACTACATGTTTATATATATAATGTATATTTTGTATATATATACTTAGTTTAATAGATATTTTAATTGGCAACTTTGTAGAAATTATAATATATCCTGTTATAATAAGGACCATGAAAATCTTAAGTCGTACATGAACTTTGACCTATTTCGAAAAGAAGATATTTCTGCAACATTAATCAAGAACTTCCTGGGTTGAGGCTTAATTGTTCATAGTGACGACATGTTTTATATATGTAGGTAAGAAGGATATTGTAACTTTAATGCATTATCATTAATTTTGTTACATGTTAAAAGAAGATGGTTTGATTTTCAATTTTTCAATTAAAGAGAAATAACGGAGTCAATCGACTTTTCTCATTATGCTGACTAAACGAGAAACTGTGAAAGACATTGCAATGAGAGCCTATGATTTAAATTAAAACAATCAATGATATTACAGTTGATGAAGGATTCTATAATTGTAAAAAGAAAAACTTAAAAATATTACTATCAATCATACATACAATAGCACAAACAAGATTAGTTGAAATATTAGGATGTAATAGGAAAATTCATTGTAAGTTACTGTTCATAATATTTAGGATTTATTCTTAGGTCAAATTCATTAAAAAAATAAAAAAATGACAGTAATACTATCGACAATTTTTCAAAGAAATTATGAATTTCCTTAAATAAAACTGAAGTTAATAAGACAATAAGCGAATATCAAAAAAGTACAAAATAGCATAGATAAAAAGTATTAATATATTTATCAATATTACGTAAAAATAATATATATATTATAAATGTATATCGTATAGAAATATATTTATACTTTAATAAATTATACGTACGAATGAATATGCATAATGCTTTATATAATAAAACTCAAGCGTTTATTTAATTTTCTTTCTTTTATTCCTTACATATCGATATCCGTGATAAGCAAGCTACAAAAGCGAATAACGTAAACAAATGTATTTATGATAGTTCGAGTTTCTTTTTATAATATTTTCTATTTTTTAGAACAAGTGACTCATGATGTTTTCGTTAACGTTTCGTTAATGACTCATGATGTATGCGTTTCGTTTGCACGGCAAACGCATTAACACAAATATTTTGTATGTAACAATGTACAAGAGCATTGCAAATGATGCCGTTAAGGTATTGCAAGCGACGCTCCGTCAACGGAAATGTCTGCGTTATCATGATATACATAACGCATGATAACATTTTGTTTGAATATATTTTTCTAATACTTCACCGCGAAACATCATGATCAATGATGATTAAAATTGAGACTTGATTGAATTTTTAATCGATGAAATTAGAAAATATCGCGAAATTTTGGACGTTACGTGTCTGGGATAATTGTGATAAAAAAAAAAAAAAAAAAAAAAAGACGAACAACCTGAATGACGTTCAAAAAATTTTACGAATAATTTTGATGAAAAAATAGAAAGAGAAGATCCAAATATTTGGAAGATTCATATTCATTTCTCTAGATGACGCTAATAATTGTAAAAAAACGGTACGTTAACGCAACGCACGTCTGTCTGGACTGTATTCGTTAGTGACAACGCACCGTACACGCTACGGCAACGTTGCGTTTGGGTTGCGTTCATTTGCATCGGCCCTTATGTTAGATCGTAAACAAACGAGCATTAAAACGAGGTAAATTGTAAGAATATATTATCGTATAATAAAATCTACATTCTATTATAAAAAGTATGTCCGTCACTGTGTACATACAATAAAACGTCCGATAGTTTTACATCAATGTATTTATTCTAGAAGTGTTGTACGTAAACGTACGTAGAAAACGACGTCCGTCGTCAAAATGGACGTTCTTTCAACGTTCGTGTAATACCAATTTACGTCTGATCGAAAATAAACGAACGTTGATAATAATTCACGTTCATAGTACTTGAATTCTTTATTATATACGATAATATATATATATATTTTTTTTTTTACAATAAATATTGTTTTAATATTACGTGTATCTATAGCCGTATATTTGTCCTAGAACGAACGTTGGACACGTCGCGACGCACGTTCTGTATTGTATACTCGTGAATACAGCGGATTCGCGCGAACGTACAGTCAGTCGTCCGTTGCGTGGCAATCGTGCTGGATATTCATCATTTTTATACTTTTTAGCTTGTTATTTTGTTATAGTAACAAAAAAAAAAAAAAAAAAAAAAAAATGGCAAATAACGTTGACACCGGGTTATTAATTAGCGAAGTAGAAAAAAGAGCTGTAATATGGGATACCTCCAATGAGTATTATAAGGATAAGAACAAAAAAAATGCAGCGTGGGATGAAATATGTTCTACTTTATCGAGAAATTATAAAACAGAATGCCCAACGCAGAAAAAATTAATTTGTAAGTATATTATTTTTAGCGAGATAAGTAGAATAATTTTATTGAATTATTAGAATAATTTTCTTTTATCATTTATGAACTAAACGATGTTAAGCGATTTTGAGCGCGATCGAAAATTATATTCTCGATATATATACAACGTCTATCGATTTACTCTACTATATAAATTTTTTTTATTCGATCAAATACACATTCAATGTAGATTTTGATAATCGGTAATTAAAAATCTTTTTGTTTATTAATAAATGAATAAGTCGAATTAAGAATTTAAATAAATTCCTATGTAATTCAAATGTAAGCGTCGTTAAAAAATATATAAATTATAGCAATATTACTTTTTGGCAATCGTGTAGAAGAAATTGGGATGCCACGAGAGTGTTACCATTTCATGTTTTTCTAAAGAGAAAAATTTCGCAATATCATAAAATCTAAATCCTTCCCAATTCATATCTCATGTATATAAATAAACTTAAAATTTGTATCTGCTAGAACTAGCAATTCAATTAGAAAAAAGAAAGAAAGAAGAAGAAAAAAAAAATAATACTCTTATATAAAGTTCGATAAAGTTCGAATATTCGTTCGACCTTAATCGTACAAATATATTTTCCGTCAATTACTCTTAAACCAATTAAGAAATTTTGCACGAATTTGAAATCCTTCTCTTATCTTGTTCCATGTATTTTTATCCGCCTTTTATTACATTCCAAATAGTTCTGCATACTATTAAAATTATCTTACTGGCAGTCGTTCTAACAATTCTAAAATTATAGTTCAAATCTTTGAAACTGTATTCAGTGGCAGAGATATCTAAAATAATATATATATATATATATATATGTAGTTTAACACTGTTGGTCCTCTAATTATATTAATAAATTAATAAAATTATAATAATCCTGTTTATAATTATGTTTATAAAATATAAATTTTTTTTTGTCTTAGTACAAGATATAATATCGAAATGGAGATCCATCCGGGACAATTATATCCGTAGTTTAAAAAAACAAACCGAGATTTGTAAATCTTGTTCGGGAATAAAAAAAATGAAACCATATATTTACGGAAACCAATTATCATTTTTAAAGAAAAATAAAGAATTGCAACAAACGGATGATAATTCAAAAGATAATATTCAGAAAGTGATCCAATATAAAGAAATTAGCGATGCAGAAGAGGATATTGAATTAAACATACATGGAACATCCATTTCTACTGTAAGTGAATCGATCAAGATAATTAGAGCGTCGTATTATTTTGTTCGATTTTTTTTTTTTTTATAATTGTTATGTGAATCTTTTAGACCTCGGTAATACCAACTAAAAGAAAGCGATTTGATATTGAGCGGTCATTGATGGACTTCATGTATGCTAACATGACCAGAAAGAGTCCAGTGGAAGAGGACGAGGATTTGGCATTTTTTTATTCATTACTTTCGTCGGTAAAAACTTTAACTGCGGATCAAAAATTTATCTTTCGCTTGAAAATAATGCAATATTTGCAAAATCTCAAAAATTGATATATCATATAGGATCGTATATTTATCCATTTTATGTACATAAATGTTACAATGTTATACTCGCCAATGTATATTCTCTACTTCCTTTGCCAATTGATACTTGCAAAAGAAGCAACGCATGTATATCGTGTACACTTATGTTCGTATAAAATGACGTCCGTTTCGACGGACGTCGTTTAAAATCTCGATCCTCCCCTTTTACAGTTAAACTTTGGTAACATTACACTTATCTTCAGGATCTGGGAAAAACTTTCGAACAGGTATTGACCTTTATTATTATATCCTAATTTTCTAAATCATTAAAAATCACATTTTCAAAAAATGTATTTCGAGTAATAATATTTCAAATTACAAAGGATAAGAGGTACATTAGGACAGCTGCCATATATAAGAAAATGAATGTAATATAATAAATAATAAAATAAAAATGAATGATAGTTTTATTATCTTTATGATTTCTACGGATTAGACTTTACTTTTTGGATTTGGGTTCATCTTTTATTTATATTTCATTTATACATCGCGTAAGTATTTAGATGTTGAATAAATAGTAAATAGTGAAAATTTTCTTTGTCAGGTATATATATACATATAATTTTAAATAATTCAATAAATAAAAATATAAAATGTTCCATATCGTTGAAAAGATTTTGTGGCCCTGAAAAGAATCGTTATAGTTATAACTAAAAATCAATAAAATGTTTAGTAACTAGATATAATTAAAATCGTATAATTTTTTTTTTTTCGAATATTTCTGGCAGTTTAACTATCAAAACCATAAATAGTACATCCTTGATGTTTCAATGTATATATGACGTCTATAACCATGATTATGTTCTTCGTTTAGTATGTTCGTTCACCATAAATTACTACATTACGGCATTTTCCAGGAAGACATTTAAAGTTGTCTTGAGTTTCTTCATAAATCAATTCAAAGATACTTTTAATAATACCACGTTAAAAGCCAAACGATTCGCAGGTTTGGTAATTCCTTAAATATTATTACGAAGTACGTACATATCTTCCTGAGTATCTATCTTTAGCAATATTTTTTTCTTCTCTTTTCCCGACCAGTCATATTTGTTTGATTAAATATAAGATAAAAACTATTAAGTCTATTCTGAAATCTTATTATTCTATAGAAAATTAAAGAATTAATTGTCGTCCTAGTATTCATCGTCGATAGAGTTGTAATCATTTTGAAAATAATTCCCTTTCATATCCACTATCTTTTCCCATCGTTCTTCCCAATTTTTTAAACTCTTCTCGAACTCAACTTTTGGAATGAGCATTAGCTGTTTCGTCACATTCTCTTCTAATTCCTTAACGTTATTAAATTGGCTTCCCTTCAAGGCCTTGTTTAATCTGGGAAATAGCCAGTAATCGCACGGAGATATATCCGGACTATAAGGAGGTTGTTGTAATTCAATTATTGCGTGTTTCGTTAAAAATTCCCTTATAATATTGCAAGTACGAACAGTTACGTCGTGATGTATCACCCAATTACCAATACTCCACAATTGGGAACGTTTTAATCTAACAGCAGTATATAATCTTTCGAGGACCTTATGGTAATATTCCTTATCAATCATTTGATATGGCGGAGCAAATTCATAATGAACAATTCCTTTGTAATCGAAAAAAACTATGAGTAATAGTTTTATATTCGAACTAAGACGTGGTTTTTTCGATTGATGCGGCATCCAATGAGAAGATGGAAGCTCCGTACTGGAAATATATTCGTGACCACAGATCCATGTTTCATTCCCAGTTATTATCTTTTTCAATAATTCAGGATTTTTTCTTACCGTTTCCAAATTATCCTCGGCTGTTTCCACTCTAATGTCCTTCATATATTGCGAGAGTATCCGCGGTACGAATCTTTTAAACACCCGAATCATTTTCAGATTATATATTAAAATTTCGATAATAATGTTTCTTGAAATTTCAAGATCGTCCATTAACTGTTGGATTGTTATACGACGATTTTGTTTTATCGCAATTCGAATGCGTTCAATATTTTCCGAAAGTATCGAAAATTTATCAACACTAGTATCACTTTCAAACAAATTTTGCCCATCTTGAAATCGTTTAAACCATTCTTCTATTTCTTTGTCATGAACAGCCTCAATCCCGTATACCTTACGAAGCATTTTAACTGTTTCCGCGCATGTATGGCCAAGTTTTTGACAAAATTGTATACAAACACGTTGCTCTACGTGTTTTAACATAATAGAAAATTTAAGAAATTAAACAGTCTGATGGTTTACAACACTCATTCAACTGCGAACTGTTCCTCGTTAATGATCAACACGGCCGTGTTATTTAGCAAGAACACTCATGAAGACGATTTTCTAAATTAAATATTTAATACTTGCTACTTACAATTGTTTAAATAATTAATATAGAAAGATTTATCCGTAGTTCGGATATTTTATAGACAGATCGTATTCCAAAGAATTTAAGAAACAATCGAAATAAATCTTTGTGAAGGTTTTTAGTTTATGTATATATATATATATATATATACATATACATACATACACATAAATATATACATATATATACACGCACGTATATGTGTATTAATATATATATTTCTCGGAAATATTTTTTTGCTGTTCTTAGATTTCTTGTCGTTCTATTATTGGTGAATTCAAACCTCTAACGTTCATTCATCTTAACAATGATTAGATGGTCCTCGATAATAAATATCGTTAATTTATTTAAATACAGAATAAAAGAAGGTTTTTTTTTTTGATTATATATTTTATTTTATTTTATTTTATTTTATTTTATTTTATTTTATTTTATTTTATTTTAATTAAGATAAATCAGTAGAGAGAAATACGAAGGGAAAGTATAGAAGACTAACGATTTGTAGAATGAAAACATGCCATTACCTACTAAAAGTATTACAATTATAATAAAATGCTTGACGTTAAATGCGGAAAGAAAAGAAAATATAAAAGAGGACTTTTAACTCGAGACCGCTTTTCTAACGTAGATCCTAATCTATCTCCCACCATAAATCTTAGAACCAATCACCTTAATTCCTTTCAACCGAATTGTATTCTTCACAAAAATCATTAATTTAAATTATATAAATAAGTTTATAAAATATTAATTGTTATAAAATTTAATAGTTCTCTTTATGTAGAATTTTGAAAGATTTACTTTTTATTATAGAAATGTTACAAAACTGAAATTTGATACAGAAGAAATATACCGTCGAACATCCAAACGTATATATATATATATATATATACATATACGTAAATACATTGAGGATAATTGAACGAACGTATATATATATGAAAAGACATATAGTTAACAATCAAATGTATTATTTTTATAAAATATGAAAATCAAGCCATTTAGGTCAAGTTACAATGGTAGAAATGCACGAAGTGCTCTGATTGGTGCGCTCGATGAGTAGCCATTCCCTATATAAACGAGCACGCGACTGGTTCGCTTCATTCCACTCGATTCCGTACGTGGTGCGATATCGAATATTTTACAGTTAAAGAAAAAAAAAAAAAAAAAAAAAAAAAAAAAATCGATCCGAAGATGCCGCCAAAAGCCAGTGGTAAAGCAGTGAAGAAAGCCGGTAAGGCACAAAAGAATATCAGTAAAACTGACAAGAAGAAAAAAAGAAAAAGGAAGGAAAGTTATGCCATTTATATTTACAAAGTACTCAAACAAGTTCATCCTGATACTGGAATTTCAAGCAAAGCTATGAGTATTATGAATAGTTTTGTTAACGACGTTTTCGAACGTATAGCTGCTGAAGCTTCAAGATTGGCTCATTACAACAAACGTTCGACTATAACTTCCCGAGAGATACAAACTGCCGTACGACTTTTACTTCCAGGTGAACTCGCTAAACATGCCGTTAGCGAAGGCACCAAAGCTGTTACTAAATACACCAGTTCAAAATGAATTGATAATATATATGGTGCATGCAAACGGCCCTTTTTAGGGCCACAAATAATTTATTTACGTTGGATATTTTCTCTAAATTGATATTTCTCCATAAGTATCTAGATTAAGATACGAGATAAGAATTAAAAATTCCTTATAAACGTATAAAATATATCCCGTATAGATGTTATAAATTAGGGTGGAATATCTATAAAATATTTTTATATGAATATATAAAGTTATCTTTATTCTTGTAGTTAGTGAAAGTTATTTTTCTTTTTTTTAGAAAATGTATTTCTACTTAAGTACCGTTTGAAAGGGAAAGTTTTCTTTTTTTTTTTTTTTCTTTTTTTTTTTCAAGAATTCCCATTAATTTCGTTTATTATTTTTCTGAAGATCTCTAAACTCTCGGTACGTTTCTATTCAGAAATTTCTATTCAGTAAAATTTTTTCAACTTTCTAACATTGTTAAAAACTCTTCATATAATAAAATAGAGAATTTCTATTGTACCGACCAAAGTCTCGAAGAGGATTAAGTTATGTACTTAGGAGTCGGTAATATTCCTTTGTTAGGCTAGGTCAAAGATCAAAATATATTACCCCAATAGATACAGTGTCAATAGGGAAGATTTTCGATCATTAGCCTATCCCTTTCCCTCTATCCACATAAGAAGACATAAGACTTAAGAAATAATACAGTAAACACAATTATATATGATTGGATATAAATCATAAGCTTCGACCAATCATAGTCAATCGTCAAAAAAATTGCGGTAAAATATAATTCTTGTTTAAATCCTATTTGCTGCATCTTCCTTTTTCTATAGTACTCACAAATTATACAAACGTAATATCTAAATGTTATTGACAAAAAGTCCAACGTACTGTATGTACGTATTTACTATGTACATATATACATAACCTCAAAATCTCTATAACATTGTTATACGTATGTCGTTTGTTTTCACGAACGATTAAACACATCGACTGGCAGCCATTGTTGCATATCCATTGATAAGACAATCGAATCATTTGATAGCGTCATGGGAGCGATCAATTCGTTTTTTTTTTTAATCGAGATTCATGATATATACGGTTATAATAAATAAATCATTAAAATTCGTACACGATGATCATCATACGCGTCCTTCATTTAAGAGAATACGATCCTTTGTTGTTTTCTTGGTCTATGTTTTATTTGACTTATTTTTTTCATTTATTTATTTTTCTTATTCTTTTTTTTCTTTTTCTTTAAAATATAATCACATACGTATTCTTTCCTTTAATTTAGAATTTATTTAAAATTTTTTTAATAACATCGTCGGTAAAATTAATGTGTTATCTATGAAAAAAATTCGAAGATTATAAAAATATCTTTCAACGCGATTACGTCATATAAATACACCCGCCATATTTTCTTTTTCTCTTTTTTTCACGGTTGAATGTAACTGTAGACGATTAAAAAAAAAAAAAAAATAAATAAACAAAAAACAAAAAAAAACAATGCCGTGCGAATTTACAATTATAGTTTTACACGTACATATTTCAGTCAATTGTAAATGAAAAAAATATTAGATGTTTTTGTGAAAACTTCATTCTATTCTACTCACTATTTTTACTCGTCTCTCTCTCTCTCTCTCACTCTCTTTCCTTTTTACGTATCAAAACAATACGTGTTGCATCAATAATAGGTGGTAAAAAATACCTGTGTAATATTAAAATTACTTTCAAGCAGGAGTGGGGGGTATTGGCCGACCGTTTTCGTCCAATTAGATTCTCATTCTTTTCAAGGACATTCTACTAAAACGTTTTATAGAATAGGTTATTGTTAAAGGCAACTTAAACGTTTAAGAAACAAGAGAGAAGAAATCCAATTCAATCGAGTTACGGGACTATAATATGAATTGCGGAGTTCTCGAGAGCGCGTAATTATTTCTTTTTTTGTATAAATTCTTTCTTTTTATTTTATATATATATATATATATATATATATATATATATATATAATATATATAAAGTTTATCACAATTATAAATTATAAAATGTCATTTATTGGAGAGGACTTACTAAAAAAATGAATTACTAAAAGAATTACTAAATAAAATTACTAAAAAAATAAATTCATATTCAATCATTCAATACAATATTATAATGTATACTATTCGCGTATAAATTAAACGGAATATTATTTATCAAAAATCTTTCACAATGAATTAATCGAATGAAAAAAAAAAAAGAAAAAAAAAATTGTTAACAAGAGGATGGGAGGGGGGATGATAAATATATACTTAAATATATATATACATATAAAAAAAAGGAATCGACATCGTTCCATCGATGAGAAAAAAAATTTGTGGCCCTGAAAAGGGCCATTTTGCATAGACATATATATACATACATATATATATATTTTTTTTTCGATAAAGAAATTAATTATTTCTTAGCAACAGCTTTAGCGGTTGTAGTAGTTTTCTTCGGTTTTGGTGTTTTAGTTTTGGCAGCGGGTGCCTTAGCGGTTTTCTTAGCTTTCCATACGATTTTCGGTTGTGCCTGTTTTTTCGTAGACTTCTTTTCGGCAACGTTAAGATTAGCAGCTGCTGCGGTGGCGGCAGCTGCTGCAGCAGCGGCGGCAGCAGCTCTAGAAGTAACTTTCGATTTCTTTTGTTGATCGGTGGTAGACTTTTTAACGGACTCGTTTTTCTTGGTTGGCGTTGTTTTAGTTTTCTTGGCAGTACTCGTTGCAGCTGCTTTACGTGCTGCAACAGTTTTCTTTTCAACAAATTTATCATTGGTTATTTTCTTTTCTTTTGTAAGACGACGTTGTTGTGCCTTGCCCTTAACGCCACTTCCACCACCAGCAGCACCAGTAGTACCAACACCACCTCCAGCAGTAGTTTTAACGTTTGAAAGTTTAAACGATCCAGATGCACCCTTTCCCTTGGTTTGTACAACTGTACCACTCGATACTGCATTCTTCAAATATTTCTTTATAAATGGTGTTACCTTATCACCGTCAACCTTATACGTAGCAATAACGTATTTCTTGATCGCTTGTAGGGATGAACCCTTGCGATCCTTCAAATCCTTAATGGCGGCTGTTACCATTTCGGAGGTCGGTGGATGCGTTGATTTCGGCCTTTGTGCTTTAGCTTTAGGTTTTGCCACCTTCTTCGTAGTTGTTGGTTTTACCGTCGTTGCCGCTGGTGTCGCTGTTGTCGTTGTTTCACTTATATTATCAATTACCGTTCCACCACCGCCTACGTTACTTCCCGTATCCTCCATAACGAATTTAAACAAAAAATTCGTTCCAATTTTGCTTCTTTATTCAAAGAGATGGATCTTCTTCTTTCCTTCCTTCTTCTTTTAATTTTCTTCTTCGAGAGCGTATTCGACAAGATCCGATGAAAGATATGTTCTTTACTGTTATAGCAGTACGACCTAAGCGTTGTCCAATTACCTTTATCAGTCCGAACCATGGAGAGAGACTCTCTCGATATGGCGCACGAACGTCATGATTAGAACGATACGTGGACAATTCTTACATCGATGTTTCAATCTTATTTTAATAATATCGATAAATTTCTATCGTTTATTTTAAATACTAATCGAAAGTATATTATGTCAGGTATTGTTCGTCATTATTATCTTTTAAATATAATCGAAGATTTCTTCATTATTTATAATATATTCCAAAGCGTACAGTTCTATGATAATAGCTTGGCCTATATTATTAACGAAATATTAATTAATCTTTATTAAAATAATATATTTTTTTACGTTAATAACATCTTCATTGATTAATCTTTCTATCAATGTTGACAATTTTTATTTAATATGTTTTATTGATATCGAAATTATGATGATAATCCAAGGTATCAATACTATGTGATTTGGCTTTCGTTGGCCACGTATTCGTCGACAATGGTTTACTAATTATTGCGTTATTTGACATGATTATGAATGATATTTAAAATTTAATATGTTTTTATGAATAAGAAATGATTTGGAAATTTGTTGATCGATTCGATCGAAGAATTTAATCGGAAGATATTATTTTTGGCGTTACTTTCACATTGGATAGGAAGAAAGGAAAAATGGTGTAAAGAATTAAAAGATTACAAAATGCGAATGGATAAAATATCTAACGAAAATTAGTTTTAATTTAAAGACTTTTATATATATATATATATTAGAAATAAATAAATAAATAAATAAATAAATAAATAAATAAATATATATATAGTAATATATATTAATATATTTTTCATAGTCATTTTATAGTCCAATACAATTCTCGGTTTTCATATTTAATATGAAATATTATATTTTCCTATTGTCAATTGAATTAATTTTGTAATATTTTACTAATTATTTTCAATGTACTTCACGAGCCGATAATCGTTAATAATATTATAATTTATCGATTTGTTTCTCAACAAGTATTATTTTATTGTTATATATATATATATATTTTTTATTTTGTTCTTATTAAAAAAAAAAAAAAAAAAAAAAAAATAATAATAATAATAATTTGTTAATTCGCATCGATCAGTTCGAAAATTTGGATAAATCGTTGTAGAAATAAACATTTATTATTTAATAAACATTGTTCCATCCTTTCGTAATATTTCTATTTAAAGATTTATTTTCCCTTACACTATATAAAAATAAATAAATATATATAACATATACATATATATATATATATACACGTTTTTGAAAATATAATATTCATAATAGTTTTGTAATCGTACAAATGTTAACTCAGAAAATCCATTGTTACAGCGACGTAGTTAATGTTTTTCAAAGAGTATCTTTCAAAGTGGTGGGGGGTAGAACGAGAGTTGATGGTCTAAGAACTTTTTCCTCCACTATTTCGAACGGACCAATCAGGAATAAGTAGATTTCTATATATAAACTACGAAGGCGATCAAGCGCCACAGTTGTTCATTCAGTTGTTCGGAAAGTAATTTCGTTTTTTTTTTTTTTTCCGACTGAGAATTTGATTTTATTTTTTTTGCACCCAACTTCACACTTAAAGCCGCATAAAATCATTATATTTGTTGTACTGGTTTTTTTATTTTTATTTTTATTTTTATTTTTTTTTTTTTTTTATTTTTTTTTTTTTTTTTTTTTTTTTTTAGAACTGATATATAACAAGGCTTGTGTGTGAAATAGTTCAATTGATTCTACGCAGCAGTTTTTGGTTGGTGCCCTTTTAAATATGGAGAACAATAAACAGCATTTTCGTCATATTTTACTTTTTTACTATAGAAAAGGTAAAAATGCTGTAAAAGCCAGAAAGAAATTAACCGATGTGTATGGAGAAGATGTGTTGACAGTACGCCAGTGCCAGAACTGGTTTGCAAAATTTCGATCCGGCAATTTTAATGTCGAAGATGCACCACGTTCTGGAAGGCCGGTTGAAGCTGATAAAGACACGATAAAGGCATTAGTTGATGCAAACCGGCGAATAACAACTCGTGAGATCGGTGAAAGATTGAATTTATCAAATTCAACTGTTTATGACCACTTGAAAAGCTTGGGTTTAACCTCGAAGCTCGATATATGGGTTCCCCATGTTCTCACGGAGAGAAATTTGTGTCGTCGCGTTGACGTCTGTGATTCGCTTCTCAAACGTCACGAAAATGATCCATTTTTGAAGCGCATCATTACTGGGGATGAAAAATGGGTTGTATATAACAACGTCAAACGCAAGAGATCATGGAGTAAAAAAGATAAATCAGCTCAAAACGTTTCTAAAGCCAATGTTCATCAAAAAAAGATGAAGCTCTCTGTTTGGTGGGATTTTAAAGGAATCGTATTTTTTGAGATTTTACCGGATAACACAACAATTAATTCGGAAGTCTATTGTCATCAGCTGGACAAACTGAATGATGCACTTCAACAGAAAAGGCCAGAATTAATCAACAGAAAAGGTGTAGTGTTCCACCAAGATAATGCGATGCCTCATACAAGTTTGGTCATTCGCCAAAAACTTTTACAACTTGAATGGGATATAATGCCACACCCATCATATTCTCCAGATCTGGCACCTTCGGATTATTATTTGTTCCGATTACTGCAAAATTTTTTAGACGGTAAAACCTTCACTTCAAATGAGGAGGTCAAAAATCACCTCGATCAGTTTTTTGCCAGCAAAGACAAAAAGTTTTATGAGCGTGGAATAATGCTACTACCAGAAAGATGGCAGAAGATATTGGACCAGAATGGCCAATATATAATTTAATAAAATATTTGTTTATTATACGAAAATTATATATATATATATTGGGTTGGCAACTAAGTGATTGCGGATTTTGCCGATAGATGGACTTTACACTTTCCGCAATGACTTAGTTGCCAACCCATACTATAATATTGTACATATATATTTTACTCAGGGAAAAAGAAATCCATTATTTTTTTGGTAGATGACTGTAGTGATCGATATCTCGTGAAGTATCGATCAAACAATTTCAGATTTATGCTCGTTGTCAAGGTGGACATTTCACATTCAAAAAATTCTTTTGCTGTTTTTTTGTTTGATTCATTCAGTTGTGAGTTACAGGGCGTTTTAAAAATGAAAGTCCAACAAAGAGAAAATTTGGTATATTACATTTTTTTTTTTTTTTTTTTTTTTTATAAAGACGAAAATGCAAGCCAGGCGGCTGAAGAAATGAGTCACATATGACAATATTCAGCGAAAACGATCGCGGTCAAAGTTCGGTGAAGCAGCTCAAACTTGACTTGTGGGACTTGTAAAGGAATCACTTATTATGAGTTTCTTCCATATGGCCAAACACTACATTCGGATCTCTACTGTCAACAAAACTGGACCATTTGAAGCTAGTGATTGACCAGAAACTGCTAGAATTGACCAACAGAAGAGTTGTGTTGTTTTCCATAAGGACAAGGCCAGGCCATATATGTCTGTAAGTGACTCGCCAGAAACTCCGGGAGCTTGGTTGGGAAGTTTTAATGCATCCACCATATAATCCGAATTTGGCAACAAACGATTTACCATCTTTTTCTCGCATTGCAAAACTTCCTGAGTAATAAGAAATTGGCATCAAGAGAAGAAACTCTAGAAATCGAGAAAATCGATTACTAGAGTTTTTCGCCAATAAGGACGAAGACTATGAGAGAGAGAGAGGCCATTATGATGAAGCTACCTTTAAAATGGCAACAAATTATAGAACAAAACTATGCATATTTGACCCGTTCTTGACTTCAAGAAGCTCTAGCGAAGCATATATCTCGTTGGTTCTCTCACGAGATACGAATCTATATATGCGATTCATGCTAAACGCGTAAACCTTCATGCCAAAGGATATCCACGTTGTGTATTCTTGAGGAAAAACGTTATTATTATCATTATAAAATTCAACGGTCCTTTTTAGGGCTAACATTTTTATGTACGTTCGAGGAATCAGGTTTTTCCTTTTACTCTAAAGTCACAATTGATCTTAATATGCATCTTAGCAAGTATATTATGTAAAAACATTTATGTTATACGTCATACAAAAAATAAAATAGATAAAGAATTCCCTTTCCCTCCCCCTCCTCGCCCTTCCGCCGACCGCTCTACATATTTTTCACAGTGGTCGATTAAAATTTCTTATTTTTCCTTTTTCTCTTTTTTTTTCTTTTTTTTTTTATCACGCATGCATTGCTCGTATTTATATATTCGCTGATACGATAAAAATTATCAAAAGAAAAGTTAATAAGGTTCACTTTTTTTTATGTATACAGTTATTGCATTCATTAATTGATCATTCAGTATATAGTATTATTTTCTTCGTTCAATTCTATGCTTTTATATAAATGTTCGCTATTTTATGTTTCATTAGTTTGAATTAACGTATTATTTGATTTTGTCGCGTGATAAGAAGTCTATTATATCGTATTCGATTTAATCGAATAATTTTATCAATCTTATGATTGAATAATGAATGATCGTAGAAAATAGAAGATAAAATCCAATATCTGCTGTTATAGAACATTGTTAGTATTTTATATTTTGTTTTTATTCTGTTGTGTGTAGCTGCCCATAGAGTGCAGTGTCTACTCTTCGTGGCAACGTTTCGAGCAATGCTATTGGTCCGTTGGTAGAGACGAGCATAAGTATAAATACCAACCGAGGTAACCTTTTGATCAGAACGGTCTAGGCTCTCGTATCGGCTGGGTTGCTGTTATGGCGTCCAATATGTATATATATGTATGTATGATATATGTATGTATGTATATATGTATATATGTATAGATTTGTAGGATGCTTCTTTTCGATGGTATAAGAGGGTTATTGAGCTTTGATGAATGAATATAATGTTACATATTTAATATTATTTAAACAATATTATTTATTAAAAAGATATATATATATTTAATATAATAAAGTAATTCTATAATCAAAGCTATTCT